AAGAGAGTCCTAGGTGTTGGGATAAATCCAGGTGTGAGATGAAGATATATTTTTGTAGAAAGTGTTCATGAACAATGCCAACAAGGTGAACAAGGCTGATGATACGCTAAGCAAGGATCTAACGGAGATACTGCCTAATCAAGATAAGACTCTAAATAATTGAACGTCAGATAATGAAGTTAATGCAAACGCCTCATCGGCCCCAATTAACCAGGCCTCAAAGACCTCCCGAATTGAGTCGAAAAGGCCACCTAATTCTGCCGATATCTTCGAATATCTTCCACGTGTAATTAATTTGTTCATATTGTTCAACTGTTATCGCCTTTTCTTAAAGACCATTGCTCAATCCCTTTTTTCTTATTCTTTTTCACTCTTTATTCCATGCTTTGAACTCTCTACATTTAGATTCGTCATAGACGTAAATACATACACTCACAATGATTGTGAAAGTAAAGTTGTCGGTCCTTGCCTTTGCCGCAGCTCTCTTATCCTCAAACTCTTTGGTTTCGGCACTTTCTGCGAATGATATTCCCTCTGATACTCCCATTTCATCTTTATTGGCATCTGCCAACGCGCATCTAGCAAAGGGCGAAACGAACGATGCCTTGACTTATTACGACATTGCTATCGCCCGCGATCCATCGAACTATCTCAGTCATTTCCGTCGCGGTGCTGCCTACCTTTCCCTTGGTCGAATGGCTCAGGCTGCTCAAGACTTCGATAAGGTATTGACAATCAAACCAGGCCATGAACCGGCATTGTCACAAAGGGCGAAGATCAGAGCAAAGAATGGAGATTGGGAAAACGCCAAACAAGATTACCTCTCCCTCGGCGCATCTCATGGAGCCGAAGAAGAACTCGCGAATTTAGTAGAGGCCCAAGGCGCAGCTAGTTTGGCAATGGATGCAGAGAAAAATCAGAACTGGGAAGAATGTGTAACACAAGCCGGAGCTGCAATAATGGTTGCCTCCAAGGTAGTGTCACTTCGCAAAACTAGAGCTCATTGTCGATTCGAACGCGGCGAAGTCCAAGAAGGAATGAGTGATCTCAAACACGTTCTCCAAATGCAACCAGGACTTACGGATCCCCATCTCCGGATTTCTACAATCAACTTTTACAGCTTGGGGGAAATGGAGCAGGGTATGGACCAATTGAGGAAGTGCTTGCATTCAGATCCAGATTCGAAGAGTTGTAAAAAACTATACAGAAGAGAGAAGACTATCGATAAAACCTTAGCCCAGGTTCGGAAATATTTTGAAAAGCATCAATACGCGAGCGGAGTGAAACTTCTTGTTCCATCTGGGGAGGAAGTTGGGTTGGTTCAAGAGATAAAGGATGATGTCAAGGAACACCGAGAGGCTGACTTAATACCTGAGCATGCGCCAAACCACCTGCTCACTCAAGTTGTCGAAATGGTTTGCCAGGCTTATCACGAGGTATGTTCAAAGCTCTGGAGTCATTTCTCTTCAACTAACGTGATATAGACCAAAAATACTAAGAAGGCCACTACTTACTGTGACGAAGCTCTTTCACTCAACGAAAACTCCCTTTATGGACTACTTCACAAAGCCCAGAAACATATGGAAGCAGAGAACTACGAAGCTGCTATATCCACCCTCAATACTGCAAAGGAAAACCACCCTGAAGCGCAGCAGATTGGAGGACTCTTACAAAAAGCTCAAGTAGAATTGAAGCGAAGCAAAACAAAAGATTACTACAAAGTTTTGGGGGTTCCTAAGGATGCGGACGAGCTTCAGATCAAATCAGCATACAGAAAATCAGTCAGAATAAACCATCCAGATAAGGCCCATAAACAAGGAATTAGTAAAGAAGAGGCTGAAAAGAAGATGGCAGCCATTAATGAAGCATATGAAGTACTGAGTGATCCTGAATTGAAGGCTCGCTTCGACCAAGGAGATGATCCAAATGACCACGAGCAACAAAGAGGACATCCATTCCAACAGGGTAGCCCATTTGGTGGTGGCGGATTCCCTTTCCAACATGGTGGTGGACATCATGGTGGTGGACAACAATTTAATTTCAAGTTCGGTCAAGGGGGATTCAATTTCGGTTAAGAAGATATCTTCGATTCTGAATCCAGGCGTTGGTTAGGCTTTGCAAGTTGACGGTGATTCAACCATTTAGTATACTCTGTAAAATGTGCACATCATGGCTTCAAGATGCTTGTGCGATGACATTCGGGAAGATAAAGAAAAGAGAAACGAGAAAAATCAATCACAAATCCTTAATTAGAGATTCGGTTTCTGTGATTGCGTTGTACTTGTGATTGTGAATGCGATGGGAATGTTAAACAATCTTATGAATTTATCAAGCACGAAGCCTCGTCATCAGCCTTGTCAAATTTCGGGCGCTACTGTATAAATCCCGACGGCATAATAGCACTGACCTTGAATGCGGGTCAATACAAACTTCAAACTTAGCAAACTTACCACTTCCTTTCTACGAACAGTGCAACAGTGTTCAGTGTTCAGTGTCTGTGTTGATCGCGACAAACTGGGACTCGATTTACAAGTTGTCTCAATTGTATGGCCCATTCTATTCCTCGATTATAATTATATTTTTGCACATAAAAACTTCGGGATGCTCTTACGATAGCATAAATACCCTTTCTCTGTAAACTCTCCTCGGACAAACCAATATGGACGGATTCGAGGTCGCATACACTTTAGATAATGAACAACAATTCTGGGATGGTATGTACATATATTTCGCTCCCTTGGATTCTGTGTTACTTAGAGTACTTACTAAAGATTGCCTTTAGAGATCGATGACATCGTTTCTTCGAAATGTGCGTCGCATCAATTAATTGATAATGCGCTGCGATCCTACTTAAAATTTACAACCAACTTCAAAGACGAATATCTGCAATCAGAGTTCGAGGTTGCAAAATGTTTACACAAATTGATGCAGAGCGAGCTATTCGCAGCGAATAAGGACTATGTGAGGACCCAGATCGTCTATAGCCTTATGCAGGAGGACGTACCTGCTACGCTACATGTGATAGCGAGCTTTCTACTATTTGATGGGCGCAATAATGAGACAACTTTCGAAATGATGAATAAGGAGGGATGTTTCCCAAGGTTATTGGAGTTGGTCAAGAAAGGGAATAGGGAAGATCCAACTTTACATAGACTACTACTGGAACTTTTATATGAGATGTCAAGGATGCAAAGGCTTAGTTTCGAAGACTTGGGTCAGGTAGATGACGAGTTCATCATATGTCTCTTTGAGATAATTGAAGAGTTATCGGATGATGTTAATGATCCTTACCATTATCCTGTTATTCGAGTTTTAGTAAGTGTCTACCGCAGGTTTAGATCTAATACCCCAATTGCTAACACCGTCTCTAGTTAGTTTTGAATGAACAGTATATGGTTGCTTCAACATCGACATCGGATCCTTCACATACTCTAACGAATCGAGTTGTTAAAATTCTCAGCCACAAAGGGTCATCATACATGACCTTTGGAGAGAATATCATCCTGCTACTAAACCGCGAGACTGAAACCTCTCTACAACTTCTAATCCTCAAGCTTTTATATTTATTGTTTACTACAAAAGCCACATACGAATACTTTTACACTAATGATCTTCGCGTCCTACTGGATGTCATAATTCGTAACCTTCTCGATCTCCCTAATGAGTTTGTCTCTCTCCGTCACACATACCTTCGAGTCCTTTACCCATTACTTGCACATACACAATTGCAGCAACCACCACATTACAAGAAACACGAAGTAGTGAAAGTTCTAAGCATACTCGGTGGATCGGGTAATGCACATTGGGAACCAGCAGATGAGACCACCATACGACTCGTCGAGCGAGTAGCCAAAGTTCCCTGGCTTCGGGATGACGACATCAGCGAAGGAGAAGTAGCGCGGAAACTCCTCGGTATAAGCCTCTCGCCGTCGCATACCGGTAGCTCGGTAAGTGTTTCGGATGTAGCTGCCGTTACAGAAAAACCTGGTGTTCAAACACCTAGTCGAAAAGCAGAAAGTGAAAACGCTGCACATGATCACGATACGCCTGTGATGGCGCCCTCTGATGAAATTCCAAAGAAAAAACGCGCGCTGCCACCGCTTCCACCGGCTGTTAGAGCAATTACTGCTCAGAAGAAAGTACCACCGATGACGCCACCGAGGAGGAGAACGAGACTTAAGGCTATGACCACGCAGCCACCTGAGGCGGCAGGGTTTGAGTGATGGATCGTGGAACTATGTGTATGATTGGTAAATTTGGAGTTATCGTGGGGGCATTGGTATTAGGAAGGGAAGGGAAGGTCTTTGTTCCTCCGTAAATAATACAACGGCGTCGGAGTGAGGAGTGCAGGGATGGTTGAATATTCACTTGTACTCAAAAATTCGGATTGAATAGTAGTTATCAAAAAGTCAAAAGTTGCTAGGTAAGACTATCAACTTCCATTTGAATATTGAGAGTCTGTATACATCCTTCAGGAAGACGATAAAATACAATTGGGTCTTACCCTATACATTATTACTTCATTGCTAAGCTGTGTTCATCAAACTTCTCATCCATATATGTGCGGCGTCGCAGGTGGTAGTGAATCTTAACTTCCTCCCTTGGGATAGCCCCAGTATTCAAGTAAATGAAATAGCAAAATAGTTCACGCGCCCGGTGCGCCAGGCGCGCTACACCTCTGTTGACCTATTCCGCGGTATCAATGACTCCGAAGGGATCGAATGCTCCCTACAAAGATACCGCGCGCACCTCGAGTTGTTGTGTCTAACCGTTAAGCTAGATTGTCGATTCTGTCAATACCACCATTTGACGAGGGAACTGGTGGGATTGAAGATTATGCTGATAAGGCGAAGATGGTTGTAGTGAATGGTGAATGGTGGAAAGCCGGAAATGGATAATGATGGATGGAGGAACAGTGAATAAGTATTCATGTGACAATACCTATATTGGATTTAGGCTTTTGGGAGGTAATTTTATACGGAAGGATGATGTCCTTTTGTTCATCTTCTTTCATCTTGCTCCCGTTCCATGCCCTTTTCACAAACCGAGTATTGAGGGGGTGAATTGGGATCCTTGCCGCGAAAACGATTCGCGCGAAATAAATCGGCCGTCTCTCTCCAGATTTCCTTGGAATAGTGCAGTGCTCTATTGGCTATGATCACCATTGAGTCCTTCCTAAGCAGATACTGATTATTTCCAACAATCATATCTTCCATGACCATACGCGGTTGTGTTCCTGTAGCTCTGAATCGTAATGTTTCTTGCTGCGCGGAGAAGAGTATTGGTGCGTCTTTTGACCTGCGAAGGTTGATTTTGCTCTCCAGAATCCCCGTCTCAAGGGATTGCGTGGTGGTGGTTGTTTCTCGCGCTTGCTCTCGCACTTTCCCAAGAAGCTCGGGATCAGAAAATACGTGAAAGATGGTCCAGAAAGCCATCGGGACAGTCAGTATTGGTCATTATTGCAATGGCATTAACACATTCGAACCTGGCAAGATCGGCATGGCTCATCTCGGTCGATAGACTTGCATATCTTGCTTTGATCAGCGGTGAGCCATTCTCTTGGACGCCTGGAGTTAAGTAATGACTCATTGCTTCTACCACTCTGGCTCGGCCTCTGATGGCTTTGGAGGCAACAAAATTGGGGAGAAACTTTGTCAACAGGAGCGTGACATTGTCGTCGGCAAAGTCCCCACATCACACTTGGCTTAGTGTGGTAGATATAAGCTGTTTAAGCACGACATGCCAGAAACCAGCTTCAACCTGTGAATCTCGATATGGATTTTCGGGTCCGGAGACGCTTTCCGTCGTGGCAACTGTTATTTCATGCTGAACCCATGCCCAAAGATCAGTATTTGGGTTAACATCACCTATTTCACTTGCTAAATTGTCAAGATGGGTCTGGATATTTTCTGCCGCGACACGGATCATGTCATCGACTCCACCAAGAGGAGAGAGTGCCTGCTGTGTGGCTTTCCATCCCTCGATCAAGAGACTAGGTTTCTCAGGCGCGGGCTCTAAATTGGCAGCCAGTTTCTTCATTCCATCGCTGCTCAGCCCACCCAGCTCGGCCGTGAGCCGGGCCTCCAGGTACCAGAAAGAAGCCGTCTTGCCCTGTCTCTGAAGAGAATTCATGAGTTCTGGAGAGCCGACCGACGATGTGCGCTTTCCCGCCAGACATAGGGATCGAAAGGATTGGTGCTTTCCATTTTTGGCTGTGCATTCAAAGGGCGCTAGTTAACACTCATGTACTGCTTTACGAGATGTTTTGCTCTTTGTGGAATGCGGACCTACTAAATTTTGGTATAGTATGCGCTTCTGCACTAGAAGAGACCGAGGGCATGACCGATGTATGAATGACGGGTTTAATTTTTGGAGGTTCTCGAGATTCATGGCTAGAGCCGCTGCAGAAAGCCCGGGTGAGAAGAGTGAAAGATACTCCTGTGATAGCGAAAAGTACATAGATTTCTAGCGTTGCCATTTTCTCCGTTCCTGAAAGTTTCTCTTGGGAGTCAGGTGTGCGATATCAGGTTTGGTACATTTAACTTGTTGGGTGTGGAGAAGTTGGAGGGTGCTATTATCTACGTGAAGAGGATGTGTTGGCATGTGAAATAGTATGGCGTCTAGGTTATGATTCACTTGATATCGTTACACGATCTACGACTTCCATTGGTAGTTAATAAAGTGAATCTGCGGACTAGTTGTTGGCTGTTGGTATCTTGTTGCTTTAGCCTAGCTATTGGACTCTGAGACATGTGCCCCATTGCGCCGCATGGTTCTGATAGGGAAACAAGCATGGTAAAATGATATCTTTCTTAGTCGGTTGGTGTCTCGTGTGCTGGAAATCTCAATAAATTATATCGCAGAAGCTAATGCTATCAAAAGTCCTCTCTGCACGATTGTGATATGCAGAAATTGAGGGTTCGACGTCTATTCGACTAGAAAAAGACTCGGATTCGGAATGCTGTCATTGCATTGAGAGTAGCTCCGCGAGCGAGGAAGACAAATCTTTAGGTAAACCATTGAACCTGTGTTTGAGCTCATAAATACTGCCCCATGCACAGAAGCTAGAATTCTGATACAAACATATCATCCTCCATCTACCACCCCCCTAAGTCTCTCTCTCCACCCATCATATCCCAGCGACCACATCACCACCTCCTTAAGCCCCTCCTCAAAATCTTGAACCGGCTCATACCCCAACACCATCCTCGCTTTTTCAATACTCTACGTATCTTCAAACAGCGCATATTCCACCTGCTGTTTCTCCAACTGATACGGTCTTTTCCTCCCACACGTAAGAAACCAAAACCCAAATTCCAAGCACGACGAAAGAACCAACGCAAACCACATTGGCAAATAGCCAATCCGCTCATCGATCGATACGTGACCCGCAAACTTCCAAATCATCCTTGCGAGATCCCAAAACTTTCGTGCTTCGCCATCATGGATATGGAGCGCTTCTCCGTCTGCGGATGGAAGATGGGAGGATTTGCGCTGGCGTGTATCAAAGAGAGCTCGCGCGAGTAGAAGATGTGAAGATGTCGCATTTTGGACACTGCAGAAACTCCAGAGATTGTTGGCATTGCCTAGAACCACGTTTGTTCTGCGCATTTTCAGGGCGTTCGGTGCGCCGGGTATACATGTCGGATCGTGTGTTCCGTAGATAAGTGGGAATCGCAGGGCACCGGTGCAAAGATAACCTTCCCATGAGAAGACTTTGTTTTTAGAGTCGTCTCGTGGCAAGGGGGTGTTTGCACTCAAGATTAGTTTCTCTGCCTGCGCTTTCGTTCTTGCACATGCAGGCGCTTTGGGATCGCTACCAGCGAGAGGAGATTCTTCGGTGAGGTTTACGTGTCTTGATCCGCTGCAAAGAAGATCTTTCGTGCCCTGGATAGCTACCTTTTTGTAATCGTTCGCTGTTCCTGTCACGGGAGATGGAGATGGAGATGCGACGTGCATGATGACTATAGGTTTGAGAGCATCGATCAATTCCTCAATCGAAGAGGCATTGGTAAGACCAACATTGTGGCAAGTTGCCCCACTCACTTAATTTTTGCTTTGTTTGGCAGAACGACTGGCGACAGCTACAGGAGAGAACTGCGGATTCGAAACAAAACGACACACAAGGTGGTAACCCACAAAGCTGCAGCCTCCGATTATATAAGGACACCGAGTGATTCATTTGCACCGTCTGAGCCTTGAATCGACGTCTTCCTACTTATCGAGAATAATATGGCGTGAAAACGATCGACGAATAATTCGAGTGTGTAATCTTAAAATGTGAAAGCTAGCTTGGTATGACACTTCAGGCGATATGCTATCCAAAATGCAACAACATATAAGGTTGGTTGCAACTGTTTGCTATGGACCTGCTTTTTGCCGGCGCACAAACACAGCCTGCCACCTCATAATAGTGAATTTTCCAATGCAAAAGCCACACATCTATGCATTATACTTATCGAATGGTCTCAGAATCTCATATCATCGGGTCTGAATGGGATCACTTGCATGGTCGTACAGAATCAAGCAGCAACTGAAGTTTCAGGGGCCTAGCTCATCCTACGCGACTCACAGAATTGTACAGATAGGTTTGGATATAGACGAAATGGAGGGAATGGCAGTGAAATGACTGATCGTACACTATAACCCGAATCTTTTACGTCACCAATATCGGCAATTAACAGGTATTGAAGCGAGCGAGCTTTAGAAGCTGGTATGTATTATGATGTAAAGTAGATACCTCCATCTAGTGACCTTCCAAGAAAATGTCTAGCCAGAATAACGCTCAAATAACTAAAGTAAACTCTACAGCGGAAGGAATTGACTCAATCGACCAAATGGGTCATGAAATTTCTTCCGAGTCTGCAATTATTGAGTACCGGTCCCATGAACAGTTTCAACAGGATCATTGGATGCGAAATTGAGATACCTAAAAGTACCAGCCATTCTTCTTCCACACCGGTATCAGAAAACAAGACAGACTTACTTGCTATTGAGCGCCAACCCATCCGTGCTTCGCCAAAGATCCCGAACCCTCGGTGCAAAAGCCACAGAATCGGTATCCAAGCTAGAATCATCATACCCAGAAGGAACCGCCGCTTAAAAGAGCGGTTTTGAATACTACTCGACAGTGATCTCATGTTATGCCATTAACACCTGATCCTAGCAACTGGCAATGGCAACACAGTTGGCCTTATTCCTTTCTGCCTCGGAGGTGGTATTAGTATTTGGACTGGTACAATCGATTTCAGTTGCGATCAAATACTGACGGCAGAAATCATCACTGCCGATGGTTCCCTTATTCACGCGAGTACAGATGTTGGGCCCGAATTCCTATGAGCGATTAAAGGAGCAGGCCAGACGTTTGGTGTCATGGTAGAGTTGACTCTGAAGACATATCCACTGTCAATCTTTGGGTCGCCATCAGGGGCACACTGGGCCGGCAATCTTTGTATTCTTCGAATAGTACGGAGGAAGTGTGCAGGGTGATGGAACGATTAATAGTCACCACGAAGCATAACGCCGCTGAGGCCATGATGGTAATGTCACCACCCCGGCATTTCAGCCAATGATCGCTGTTGCACGCCATTCCATGTGAGTCTTCACCCGGCCAGGATCTTCTCTCGCCCTTGTTAAGCGTGTGCACTGGCTACGTGTGAAAAAGGACACCGGCAAAATGTGCATGTGTACACGCCTACTGGAACATAATAACAGTCTCGAATTTAGCGGAGATCCAACGAGGAACCTCTTGCATTCCAACCTCTTACAGATCTCCATCCGATTATGCCATCAGCATCGACCCTTACGACCCTAATCTGAGCGACCACTTGGACTTCGCCTGTGCAAAGGGTGATTTCAGACCGTTCAGCTTGACAGAATTTCCTGATTTCAAAAGCCAAAATTTCATGAAAGGCATCGAAATTTACAAAGAGTTGTTGGCCACCTGCCCCGACACTGGTGCTGCTGGTCATGTGCTCGAGTGGCATACCAGAATATCAAAATTATCACCAGCCAATTGGGCATTTGGTAATGAGCACGTTCATTTAAGGCCGTAAGAGATATCCTCATACATGTTCCGACACAAGCTTGGATCTTTTCTTTTTTTCTTCTGGTATTTAGCAACTGTGTCGCGTGGTATCACGGAGCAGAAAACCACGACATCGTTCTTGACTTCGAGAACAACACGATTTCAGCCATGAGAGATGGACATGCTGAGGAAGACTGGGTTGATTGTGTAAATTGCAATCGCACAGATCCTGTTCAGCGATAATATCGAGTAGAGGAAAGTTTAAAGAGATTAATTGAATCGATTGAAGCAGAAGTGGGATCCGCAAGGTGTTTCCACACGGCAGTTGTTGTGATATCCAAGCGGTTTAGCTAATAAGGCACTGAGCAGCAATGGATGGAACTTGGAAGACGATGAAAATTAAAGTTAGGTATCCCGATTCCCGAGGTCAAGCCGTTGCGAATGGCTTAAAGGCTTAGAGCATCTTGAAAAGATCCAAGATTCCAATTCCAATACGATGTACTTTCGTGGGTCAACTACTGTAATAAGTAGGTGGGTATTGGATAACTTGTTAGGATGACACGGACATGAAATTATTGGAAAATAAATGATTAATCTATGGTTGGCAGTGGGTGGTTCTCTTTTGAAGATTTGATATCCGACCGATCCTAGAAGAAATTATTAGCGATATTCAATCCGCTCCAGCTTGCACAGCTAAAATAGCCAGCCAGCCTCGAGCCTTTGACGCTCGCGTCTTCGAGCGAGTTTTCTCCAAGAAAGGGGGTCTTTATAAATTGTCTCTGATGATTTGACACTCCTGTCTTTAACAGCTTGACGCCGTTTTCCCGTTAGATATGGTGAGCGAGATTTCAAGACTTTGTCTCAACATGGTCCCTTCTCTCAACCTTCTCCCAGCTTCTCCCGTAATTCCGATGTTCAAGGAAAAGAAAGTGGAACAATGAAATGTGAAATATCGATCCATTTGCGGGGAAGGCAAAAATGAGTAGGGATGATTTATCGGGAGATCATCTGTGCTAGACTCAATATAGTAAAGCACATGATCGCAAGAGACCTTTTGATGGTGGAACGCAAATTGGTATAAATTGCTATGGGGCCAGTCACAGGGTGAGATGAGATCCAATTTGGATGAAGAGATAGATATCCCGTGACCAAGTATGAATGTGTAGTAGGTAGGTAGGTACTCATGTAGTAGGTAGGCACCCAGGTGTGTGTTGATAAGATGCTCTCTGTAGTGGTAGATAAGAAAGGAAGGAAATGGAACATCCGTGGAAGGATTTTGAATGACTATCAGTCCTCGAGCAGTCCTATGTCAAGTAAAGTAGTGTGATGCACCTCACATGATGAGATCTCTTGTATTCATTACTATCATGTAGCAGTTGCAGTAGCTCCAGTTGTAGGCCGGTAGCAGGCTGGTATGCACTCTCGTACCCTGGTACGCAATGAGTAATCAGTGACCAATGAGAAGCGTCTAGTCTCTATGTAGGTAGTCCCTAGTCCCCGTACCTAGTACCCAGTACCCAACACCCAGCACCCAGCACCCAATCCCCACTACTATCTATGAATATCATTTGGATTTTGAAGCCTGAAGCCCACAGGAGAAAAAGGTGTAAGTTGTAACGATGCAAATGTCTCAAACGTGACATACGATGTGATGTATGTCCCTGTGTAGCACTAGTATCAATGAATGACAATGTCATCATGTTCTAGGGAGGGATCTTCACGAATGATTTGTCTGCGATCGAAGCTGGACTTGAAAATCAAGGACGAGAGCAAAGGAGGAGAGGGGGAGGGAGAGGGAGAGGGAGAGCAAGAATAAGAACAAGAATAAGAACAAGAATAAGAACAAGAACATGAACATGAACAAGAACAAGATACGATTGATTCGCCTGTTGGGTACTCATTTGACCCTTTGATTATAACCCTCTGATTGGCCCTGTCTGTTAAATTGAGATTTACCTATTTAGTACGGCTCTATGTAATCTTACCCTACGGCGCTGTGGGAGCACAGACTGACGAATGAAGGTCATGGCTTTTCAACTTTCTTTCTTCTTTTCTTTCAATCTCTATCATGACCAAATTCACGTCATAGGGAAGATGTATCCTGGCTATGCATCCTGGCTATGCATCCTGGCTATGTATGATTCTCTGCTGTAAACTGTAATGTAAGCAGCAGAGGTATAATTTCCGGATTTTGATCATCGAGAAATATACCTAGTGGGTGGGTGGTATTCAGCATCTACTAGATAAGCGTCTGAATGATTGATTGTCTACTCCTCAATATCCATCTCCATCTCCATCTCCATCTCCGTCCGCATCCCCATCCTTCTCTCCTGTGCATTCACACCGAATACCTACACATTTTGGCATTCATTTCCATGTAGAAGCCGTACAATACTATCTATTGCTCTCCATGCTACCGACCCAGATCCCAGTAGACTCATCGCTAAATCCCATGAAGGAGTGACCACCTGCTTGTCATACCTACATTAATTAAACATATTCTTTCACCCCCTCAATTCTAGATCATCCTCCAAGATACCTCACGCCTACCACGATATATCATCTACCACCTCTTCTCTACCATCTATCCTCATGAAGAAAAGTAGAAGAAAAATAGAAGAAAAATCGTGAAAAAATATAAAAAAGGTACCACACACTTTTTCATCATATATATATATACAAAAGAAGACAAAAACATCCTCACAGACCCAAATCGGTCACTCATTTTATTTGATTCTTAAATCTTAATAAATGTCGAGGAATTGGGAATTGGGAATTTCCGGTTTCTTTCCCTTGACTAGTAAATTTCCGTCCATTGTTCGTGCGACTCTACTCTACTGGCTATCTAATGTCTTGGGTCCCTTATTAGTACACAACCAACCCATTTTAGCTTGATCTCCCCCTACGTCACGTCAACGATCAAATCCCCAATACCAATACCAATACCAATACCCATACCCATACCAATACCACCAAACTTCCTTACTACCTTCAATTACTACCACTTTCCCTGCCGTCCCTTCCCTTCCTTTCTCTCTTCCTTCCCGTCCTTTCCCTTCCCTTCCACGACTCGTCCTTTGCCCTAGTTTAATCATCATGTCTACCATCGGCACAAATTCTGCAATTCCTGCCCCCGCGCAATCATACAGTGATCGAGGTTACGGCGCTGCAAGTACCCCACGAGCACATCCACAATCTCACACCATCAACGGAGGAGGTCCTGCAGTATTAGACTACGCTCCAAACGATCACGATCCTCATACAAACATTCCAAACTCACACGGAAGATTCAACGAGGAGTGGGATGCGAGTCAACGAGGAAGCTCAATAATAGACGGCAATATGCATCGATCACATTCAGTCATGTCGCAAGGCGATACCTTGATTCCTTCGCGAGGGGGAACTCTTAAAAAGAAAGCTTCGTTAAAAAGAAGTGGAAGTAGACGAAGTTCCAGGGCTGGGAGTGTTCGCAGTTTGGTTGTTCATCCACAAGGTGATATCGACGAGGCACACAGTGCTTTCTATTCTCCAGTACCCACAAGCGGAAACCCCACGGATATTTTAGCAAACCGATTTCAAGGTATTCCACCATAGCTTTTGATCGGCGGCAATATGCTAATCATTATTTTCTACTTTCAGCTTGGCGTAAAGTCCTCAAGGATCTTATCGTTTATTTCAAAGAAATCCAAAGCCAATATGAGCACAGATCCAAGAGCCTGTTGAAGGTCTCGAATGTTATTAACAATACCACGGCGCCCGCCGTCTTTTTACCTACAGGTGGAATTGACGACGCCCTCCAAATTCTTCGCAATTATCATAAATCCGCAATCGCAGAGGCAAACAAGTCCAGAGATATCGAGCAAGATGTGATTCTTGCCTTGACAGGCCTGCGTAGCGATTTGCAACAGAAAATCAAGGAGATCAAGGGCTTATCGGGCGACTTTAAAAATTCCGTGGATAAGGAGATGGAAGCTACTCGAAAGGCTGTGGCCGCATTGCAAGATGGTTTAGGTCAATCGGACATTGATCCTTCTCAGATGACGGGCAAGCATGATCCATACTTACTCAGACTTGCTGTGGATCGTCAGGTCGAAAAGCAGATTGATGAGGAGAATTACCTTCACCAGGTATGTTTCAATATTAATTTAAATAAAAAAACATCAGAGGCTCAGGAGCTAAAAATAACTAGGCATATCTCAATTTGGAAGCCTCTGGGCGTGAACTCGAAGCTATCGTAGTGGGCGAGATCCAAAAGTCTTATAACGCGCTCGCAGGTATATTGAAGCGCGAGGCAGACAGTGCCTATAGCGCAGTAGACGAATTACGCACGGGTCCCATTGCCATGCCAAAAGATCATGAATGGACTGCATTTGTCGAAAATGATGAACATTTTATTGATCCAAAGGTTCCTATTCGAACACCAGAGATTATAAGATATCCTGGACAGGACAATGAGCTTGCTGGGTGCATTAGAGAGGGCCTCCTTGAGAGAAAATCCAAGTTCCTAAAGGTAATTCCCACCATGCCTAAGCTCCACGATCTCCTGCTAACTCTAATTTAGTCTTACACGTAAGAGAATGATTGAAAGTGATAACCATAATATGTATCGTACTAATTTGAATTCTAGTGCTGGCTGGTACGTCCTTTCTCCTACTCACTTGCATGAGTTTCGCTCTGCGGATAAACTCGGAGCGCCAATCATGTCTCTCTACCTCCCCGAGCAAAAACTCGGCTCTCACTCGAATGAGGGAGGATCCTCAAACAAATTCATACTCAAAGGCCGTCAAACTGGAGCATTGCATCGCGGACACTCTTGGGTTTTCAGAGCGGAAACACGTGATACTCTACTCGCTTGGTACGAAGACATCAAGACTTTGACGGAAAAGTCTCCACAAGAACGTAATGCGTTTGTGCGTCAGCATGCCCGCAGCGTTAGTGGTACATCACAACGAGCTGGTTCCATCAGCAGCGACGGTGTTATGGACGAGGAGGACGAAGAACCATTTTCGGCACATACATCAGCCATTGTAGGCACTCAAGGACTCAAACAAGAACAAAAGCGTCCTGAACCAGGTGGGAGATTTCCATCAGATCTACAAATTAATGCGACGCGTGGCTTACAGGCTCCTCTTTCGCCTTCTAGCGGAAGTTCCATTTTTGGGGGTGAAGCAGATGATGCAGTGATTACCGCTGCAGCTCTACCCGCAAGTGGTGTTGGCCATCGCTATGGAGAGACCCCTGGCCACGCGTCGCCGACACACGCGCAGATGATAAATCAAGCTGCTGAAGAAGATGGTGTGAACCCTTATACTTACGAACCCATTCAGAATATGAACACTACGCGTGATAGTCAACAACATGAGTTACCTACCACTGCCGCTACTGCAGGCTTAGGCGGCGCCGCTTTGGGCATAGCAGGCACAGCCGCATACCACGATCACCAGCTTCAGAAACAACGCGAGCAAGCAGACATGGAAGCGACTATGATAGCCGCCCCTGACACGGATCGACTTCGAGAACAAGCGGATATGGAAGCAGCTATGATTGCAGCTCCCGACGATCATATATATGACGACAAGGCACAGCAACAGGCAGATCTAGAAACTACTGCCATTGCTGCACCTGACACGCACATGTCCGGAGGACGTAGCCAGGGCGATATCAGCGCGGTCCCTTGGTTCAATGAAGTAGGGGAGACTGCGGCCATATCGACAGTAGCGGCTACTACGGCTGTTCCAACTACGTCAACTGTCACAGATACTATTGAGCCAAGATCAATGGAGGCACTCCTCGATCCCCTCGCCAAGGATCTCGAACGTCCAACTTTGGCTGCTGGGCAAAACCATCAAAGCGTCCAGAGTATCAGCCAATTGCATGTCCCCGGTGAATTCCCCAGGACTCGAACAGAAACAGGAAGTTCTTTGAGTAATGAAACTGTCTAAAGTGGGTCCCATTTTTCTTTTTGTTTTGTTTTTTGGTAGGACAGAATTCAACAGAGAGAAAGATTTGGAAGTATTCTGTATTTTGTGCGTATGGATTGGGTGTGCGTTAGCGGGTTCTACGGTAAAGGGGATGGAATGGAATGGTTGGAATTGGATGGCTAAGGAGGAGGGAAACTAGGTTATAAGACTTGGGAATGAGGAATTGGCATGGTGGAGAAGGTACGGATGGATGGGCTCGATAAGATTTCCGCGATACTTTTGCTTGAGGAACTTGGGATTGAATGCAATGCGATGCGATGAAATGATCTCCTTTGTGGATTTACTATTGGCTACCTAGGTATTGCCGAGTAGATATGTCCTGAATATGAAAATATTAGTTTTATGTTCATGTTCATGTTTGTGTTCATATTCATTTTGATATGGTGACTTTGTTTGGGCGGGGAGGGTAGGATGTTTAAAGAGTTGGTGCCACTAAGAGAGGAACAGGAAGAAATGCAATATTGTTAGTGAGGCAATATCTGGGGGCAGGGACCCTTTCATGTCAAGACCGGAAGAAACGAGATACCTCGATCACAACGTTTACGTTCACGCTTGGAACTTATTTAGTACTGTACTCTCCACCCAATCGGCCATCCTCAGGCCCTCCTCTATACGCAAACATACTGGTGAGTGTAATATCGTGCGGTTTCATGTCTATTATATGCTGTGTTCCTTCTCTCTTCGTTACTGAAGGGTTTGGGAACGTGGAGGGGAGGGGAGGGGGATTATGGCAGAGAGTAGAGAGGGGTGGGGGTAATAGATAGGTTAAGATGGGATGGGAAGGAAAGGAAAGGAAAGGAGAAAGCGAGAACAATTTGGGGGGTTTTTATGTGGTATTGGACTTGTGGTTTGTCGGTTTGGATGAACATCTATTTCTCTCTCCCACATCGCATCTTCAGATGATGAAATATAGTACGGTATTCCTGCTCCCTGGCCCATAGCAATATCTCTTCAGCCGCCCCCAAGATAGCTATCCACCAGATTCTCGAGAAACATTTATTCATTCCTTGTGTCTTGCAACGAGATTCCTCAAAACAAGCAGAACCATACACCCACGTGTGTGCCGCGCAATAAGCCACCTCGTGATTTTCACGAGCGCGCGTCTGCGCAAGACTCCCAACCTACGCGGAAGCATCCAACACATCTGCTCGCGCACAGTCTCCCCACCAGACACGGTTCTGACAAGCCTGCAGATCACATCCAGATCCCCCATGCTCCACTGTCGCATCTAACCATTTCAATAATGGCACACCCCTAGAACCTGGCAACAGGGTGTACCGGGAGCGACGCCCCCATCCAGCGTTTTGCAGTGCCATCTGGTCGGGTGGGAGGTGAGCATCGCGAGCCTGCGGGTCGTAACTTGTCGAGGATCGTCGCGATGCTTGATGAAAATCCATTTTTTCACGTCATTCTTCTGCTGATATACGAGTAGGTCTCTTGCTGCGATCATAATCTCGTTTGAGCTTTAACATGACTCTTCGTTCTCAGTGTCGCTGTGCACTGAGCCTTCCTCGCGTCGATATACGGTCGGAAATATTTTGGGACTGTGGGATGTTGGGAATGGATTTGGATCTTCAAAAGGGTCGGAACTTTCATGTGGATCGGGAATGAGAAGGGGTTGCGCATTCAAATTGGATTGAAACCTGCAGATGAAGCGGAACGTTCACGTGGATTGAATATTTCAAATGGGCAGGTAATACAAACAAACTCAACGCTCAAGCCAAAAGATTTTATCCCTTTCCGCATTCTGAAATAGTCGCGTATCAAAAGCTTGGTAACCTTGAAGTGGATAGCTTAGCTATATTGCCTCCACGTAGGATGATAGATATAAGATTGCATCTTATGTAATGGAACAGCATTTCTAACCACGAAATCATTATGAAACTGTAATGCTCTTTTCATTCTTCCTATCTCCTCATTCCTCATATGACGCTAAACCTAGCATACTAATAGCAAGGAAAACGCATCGCATCCCATGCCCTTTCTTATGCAGTAGTCATAAATCTTATGCTCGTATTTCACATATTCTTATTTCATCGTCTTCGTACTTATCTTCTCATCTTATCATGCTCCTAACCTTCCTTCCTCCAAACATCCCACACCTTTTAAGCAGCAGGCGCAACAGGAGCCGCAGCTGCCTCGACAGGCTTCGCTTCACCTGGGAAAGGGTTATCCGACCTTCGCTCATCACGAAGTGCTGTGAGTTTCTCAATTGCTTCTTGCAATGAAACAGGCTTTCCTCGATCTTGACTCGAGGTATCATCACGATTTCTAACATTGACTTCACGACCCTTCATTTCTGTGTCGCCGACAACTTTTAGTGGTATTAGTATCAATTTATAACAAAAGACATGTGTGATTACTTACCAAAGATAAAGTTGTATTGTGCCAATTGACCTGTGCGGATCTTCTTTTGAAGAGTGTTGCCACTGAGGTCAACATCAATGAACATTTGTTGTTTGTGGAAGATGGATTGCACTTCCTTGGCATATTCAAAGTAACCAACTCCGACTGGGATGACAAGGATTTGTCGAGGACTTAACCAGAAAGGCCATTTACCAGCGAAATGCTCAATCAAGATAGCAGTGAAACGTTCAATACTACCTGCCATAGCTCGGTGAATCATGACTGGTCTGGCACATCCAGGGGTAAGTGGCTTGTACACTCTTTCCTTTGGTGGGGCATTAGGATCCTCTGGTTCGGTATTCTTCTTTGGCTTGACGATGGGCTCCTTGACGGCGTCTTCATCCTTCTTAGTTGGTACATCACCGGTATTGTATTCAAGCCCAAAGTTCTGAGGTAACTGGAAATCAAGTTGGATTGTAGCGCATTGCCATTCTCTCTTGAGGACATCGCAAATAGTGATATCAATCTTTGGGCCATAGAAAGCACCGTCACCCTCGTTGAGTACCCATGGTACTCCACCGTCAGTTGCCGCAAATTCGTCCAAAGCAGATCGGAGTTTCTCCTCTGCCATATCCCAGGTCTCAAGCTTACCCAAGTACTTCTCTGGGCGAGTGGAGAGGTTCAACTTGAAGGTAAAACCCAAAAGACCGTAAATGGCCTTGAGGAAGTCGAACAGGCCAGTGATTTCATCCTTGATCTGGTCCTCTCTACAGAAGATGTGGGCGTCGTCTTGTTGGAACCTTCTTACTCTAGTCAAACCAGTCAACGCACCCGAAGCTTCATTGCGATGAAGAACACCGAAGTCTGCAACTCGCCAAGGCAATTCTCTGTGACTGCGCTCGCGGTGACCAAACATTAAGCAATGACCAGGGCAGTTCATGGGCTTCAAAGCGAAAGTATCCTTCTCGACAGGGAATGTAAACATGTCATCCTTGTAATACGCCCAATGACCAGAGGTCTTCCAGAGCTCAGAGTTGTACATATTTGGCGTAATAACTTCTTCGTAGCCACGGGTCCAATATTGCTCTCTCAAAAATGACATGATTGTGTTATAGATACGAGCACCGTGTGGCAACCACATAGCAGATCCAGGTGACATTTCGTGGAAGAAGAATAATTCTTGATCCTTACCAAGTTTTCGGTGATCACGCTTTGCAGCCTCTTCCAAAAATTTCTTGTGCTCAGCCATTTGCTTCTTATCTGGGAATGAGACACCATAAATTCTTTGCAAAGAGTCGTTTTCCTTGTTTCCGAGGAAGTAAGATGCTGAGTTCTTCATAATAGCAAATGTCTCGATTCTGCCAGTGTTAGGGACGTGAGGGCCTCGACATAAATCGATAAGAGGTCCATTACGGTAAACAGTGGTGTTGGTTCCATCAGCGATCTTGTCCTTGATAATATGCTGCTTGTATTTGTTGTCCTTGAACATCTCCAGAAGATCATCCTTAGAAAGAACCAATCGCTCGAACTTTTGCTTCTCCTTGACGATTTGACCGACCAATGTCTCTAAGGGCTTCCAGTCTGCGTCAGTGACGGTTCCTTGATTTGGCAGACCCATCTCGTAATAGAAACCATTGTCGATTGGAGGGCCGATACACAAACTGCAACCGAATCGTCTCTCTGATGCTTCACCCAAGATATGAGCACTGGAATGCCAGAAGACTCTTCTGCCCTCTTCGTTCTCGAAAGGGAGCAGCTCAAGTGTGCAATCCTTCTCTAAGGGTCGCTCCAAATCCCATAATTGCTCAGAATCTCCATTCAATTTCGCAACAACGGTGCGCTTGAGAAGACTCTTCGAAATTCCCTCTGCGATTTGGGCGGGTGTGGTCTCCCAAGCAATACCCTCCTTAACAGATCCGTCCGCAAGAGTAATGGTGATGGGATCTCTTGGTTTTGCAGCAATTTCCGCGTCATATTTCGCCTTCAGCTTGTCGAAAACTGCTATGCGATGAGCGATAAATTCTGGCGTTGGATTGAGTTCTAAAGGTCCGGCATCGACCCCACTATCCCCTCCCTTCTCCTTCTTAGGCTTTGGTGCTTTGGGTGCTTTTGGTTTCTTCTCTCCAATGGCAACATTTTTGACACCCTCTGCCACCTTCTCAACTGCCTCCTTTGCCTGTTCCATGGTGTTCCGAGGTAGGTTGTTATTCGAAATTTGCTGTACTTGGGAGGAGTCAAGTACAACTAGACGGTGAACTCTTTTGAATATTTTTATGACTCCAATTATTGTAACGTTTGTCCCTCCTCACATGGACCGTGCACTGTGCAGATGACTAAGTCACACTTGACCAATGAAAATCGTTCTCATCTTTGGCTCCACACGCTACCCAGTTTTCGCTTCGAATAATTTTTTGGAGAGCTTTAATTTTTGTACCTCTCCAACGATAACGCCAAAACACCCTCGAACAATCGCCAATATCAAACAATGTCTTTCCGAGGCGGATCAAGAGGCGGTCGCGGTACCGGCGCAAATGCTGGTTTCAGTGGTGGTAGAGGAGGATTCGGTGGTCGTGGTGGAGGTACGTTAATACTCTTTTGCGAATTTGAGCAGATCGATTTGTGCGCAATTGCTAACGGTTTACACCAGGACGCGGCGGTTTCCAGCAAAGAGACAATGGTCCTCCAGCAGACGTATTTGGTATGATAACTCCTGTTCGCATTGTCAGAGCCAATTGCTAATTAGAGACAGCTATGGGATCTTTCCTCCATGCCAGTGAAGGAGAAATTGTCTGCGAATCCATCAATACTAAAATTCCTTACTTCAATGCGCCAATCTATCTAGAGAACAAGGTATTAATTCTCAATTCCAAAACCTCCTGCAGAATTTAGACTAACAACCAATTGGTAGACCTCAATTGGTAAAGTCGACGAGATTCTCGGCCCCATCAACCAAGTTTACTTCACCATCAAGCCAACCGAAGGTATCCAAGCTACTTCATTCAAGACTGGCGACAAATTCTACATCGGGGGCGACAAACTTCTTCCTTTGGAGAAGTTCCTTCCAAAGCCAAAGCCACCTCCAGGAGCACCAAAACCAAAGAGAGCCGGTGGTGCCAGAGGAGGTAGAGGAGGACCAATGAGAGGTGGTCGAGGTGGTGGAAGAGGTGCACCACGTGGAGGAAGAGGTGGTTTCACACCAAGAGGTGGCAGTGGAGGATTCTCCAGAGGTGGTGGCAGTGGTGGTTTCTCTCGAGGAGGTGGTGGTTTCACTCCTCGAGGTGGCGCGAGAGGTGGATCGAGAGGTGGATTCTCCAGAGGTGGACGTTAAAATGGTAAGATAAAGAACTGAAGTAGACCAAATCTGGGTATATGGCGTTTAGGGATATGTTTGTTGGTACGGCTTGGGCTGCTGCGAACTTCTGTGCAAAAATTGTACTTTCTTAGTCAATAGTCGGTGGACGATAGGAAAATCATGAAGCTTCGGGCAACATATTACACATACTTTACCAAAGAGAACCTGATCTAAATTGAGATCAATCGCCCGCCCAAAGATTACGGATCGAAAAGCCTCCAGTCACATTACCTTCTCAGTATATTTGGTCTTCATCTACTCTTAGAGAGACATTCCTCTTATCCAAAGAACCTCCCCTGAGAGTATCTCGAATATCTAGCTAGGTCTTCGATCATGTACACATTTTATGTGCCTATCTAACTCGTTGATTACCAACACAAAAATGCATATAATCTTTTTCGCTATCCATCTTATAGAAGTCGGCAATTCATTACTTTTCGATTTAATTATAAGATGAAACCTGCAGGTATTGGAAAATTTCGTTCACTGTTGATATGTTGTGTAGAAATGACTTTACGTTTATATTATTGGTTGTTGAATTCCTTTTTCAAGTGATGGCGGATTGGAGTTCCAACCATCGGGCATAAGAGAGAAACACTGTAAGAACCATATCACAGTCTCATGGTGAAATAAATCAACAAATTCTTCACTTGCACATGGTCGTTAAATATAACTTGAGAAGAGGATTGCACTTAATGAATATATTTGCGCCAATTCATAAACTTCAAGGTATCATAATACATGCTTCATCTCCACCTCACTACCGAGCCGGGTATGTCTATTACCATCCCTTCTTCCCACCACGTCCCCTACTTCGTAATCCACACTCGATCCCAAGCATAATGCTTTAATCATGGCTTAGGAATATGAATGGTCTTACTAGTCATCATGCAGCCCCAAAGAACAAAAAGTCCCACAACAGGATGAAATTCAAAAATAGTGCCAGTGCCCACCGTTCCTAATGGTATATTGTCCAAGATCCAGCCCTTGGATACCCAGTATGCCATTAAGGCGGCAATGGAAAGGGAAGTAGGGATCGGCGTGCCTTCAAAATATTTGCTCTTTCCAGTAGCATCCTTAGGAACATTGGCTACGGTGATATTGAAACGAGCGAGACGGGTGAGGCCGCAGAGGACGAAGAAAGTAAGGAAGAGGTGGTCGACAGGAGTGCGGATACCGATAGCAAAAGCTGCAGCGGCGGGAGAAAGACCAAAGGACACCTGTAGTAGAAATCGTTAGAATCAAAATTCCGATACGCACGAAAGTGAAAGGGAAAACTGTACCAAATCCGCCAAAGAATCCAATTCTTGACCCATCAAACTACTCTTCTTTCTCCATCTGGCAACCTTCCCATCCATGAAATCGAAGAACAATCCAAAAGGCATAAAAGCTAAGGCCGCCCAGAGATTTCCGTGCGCATCTGATGGGCCCAGACAATATCGCATCGAGGCGAATACAGACATAACACCACAGAACCCTGATTTGTAGCAGTTAGTCAATTTGTGCGAGAGACTTTTGGAAAAGTAGAATTACCATTGAGTTCGGTGATTAAATCCGCAAGATGCAACATCTTGATCATGGAGAAATGCCCTGTATCTTTCTCCAACAACCTCTTTTGTTTATCCATAGCTAGAGCATCCGTTAGCACACGATACGATAGTATAAAATCAATATATTGACCCAGGAAGGGGAGGGGTAATCAAAGGAGCAATCATAAACATACCAGGCCCACCGGCTGTTGAATCCTTGGTTGCGCCATTTGCGGCATTGCCGCTATTTCTTTTCGACATCTGAGATATATCAACTCACACTGAGTATTCAAGGTGTAAAAAAAAATGTGAGGGTATCGTGAGGTTGTTGGTTTTGAGCCTTTTTGGGGAAGAGTGGTTTTCTAGGTTTGTTTTCTTTTCGTTTGAAGAGCTTGGTTTTACCAGCCATGACGTTGAGGGATCGCCAAGCCACAGCTGAACAAGGGGCTTGAGCAAACCTTAAACACCAACAGCACTTGTTATTGCCTTGGAAGGAATCTGAATGGATTGCACAGCCTTTTTAACCCCATGGACAAAGATCGAATTCGAACTGGTCATTTATTACATACATATTTTTGGGGTACCCAATCATGTACTTGGTGATACAATCATTCTTGCCAAGAACTTTGAGTAGGACTCGGAAAACATGCACAGCTCACAGATGTGTTTCACAGATATATTCCGTAATCACTTCATTCAAGACTGTCAGGAACTGGAAAATCTGTCATTTATTCTAAAACGCCTCTATAGATATGCCCAAGTCACACCATTCGCACTAAAGCTTTTACCTAGGTATTGTTACTAACCACCCTGAGAAATAAATATCATAGGATAAACGGTAATCTGTAGAACCGTTCGAACCACGTCTTCCTAAACCAAATTATACAATATTAATGCGTACTATTCGCTCCCCTAACGATTGCCTTCATGTTTTTACCGAGTAAGAATGATACCAAACCCATCAATCCATGATGCACATGATCCTGAAACGCCTGCGATAGTGTATCCTCTCGGGGGTATCAAAGTATGCCTGGGAGTGTTAGCGAGATCTTATGCGAATAGCCGGGTGTAATAATATGAACTATTGTAAGTCCTAACAACTAAGGTGATATAGCACCGGCGCAGGATGGGAAAACACTAACCCAGAACCACCAGCAGGGTTTCCAAAAACCTGGGACTTCCTGCCTAAACTAGTCATAATTGCAATTCCGTCTAACCACAACCCACTTCTGACGTAGAATCCAGTAATGTACTCTCCACGACGTGTATCTAACAGAGTATTAGTAGTTTAGGCGGAACATTTGGGAATTCTGGTCACCATACCAAGACTAAAATCTGCGGACGATCCACCCCTCTTGCCAAAAAGTTGAGAGGTCGCATCTTCATAAATAAACTCTATACCGTCGAGAGCGAAGCCCGCCCAACTAGAATGCAAGTCAGTGGTCGTACTTAGGTGAAGTTCCTTAAGACTTTTGAGAATGGCGACCCAATATGGTCCTTCCAGCCGGGTTGAAACAAGTTTTCTACTTACACTCTCACTTGTATCATCAGTTTTGTTTGATGGATTGAACTGTCAAACACGACTTCTTGTGGCTGGGTTCCGTCCATCTGCGATGCACCCAGCTTACTGCTCCTGAAAGCCATCTGCCCATTCTTCAATTTTAGCTTACTGGCTTTTGAGACGAGTTGGGCAAAGTCATCAACATCATGGCTGCCACCAGCGAATGACTTTACAGATATCTTCAATTTCGATTTTCGGCGGTCTTCGGGTAGTTGAATCCTTAAATCTTGCTCTGTAAGAGTAATTTGTCGTTGAATGGGTCCATTGCCATTCCCATCTCCAAACTCTTGCCAATTGTGACAAAGATCTTCGCCATCCGTAAATATTTCGAGGAAAGCTACACCAGATGCCGCTGTAATTATCACACTTCCATTATCCACAGGCCACACTTGTATGGAGTCATCGTTAGCTCGCGGAGGATCTGTAGGAAGTGCGAAAGATGGGTGACTTCGAAAGCGTAGAGTGTCTAGCCTATGCCATGTGCATTCGTCTCTTGGTAAAACCAGCCCTCCCTTCGATCGGGTGCGTGTTGAATAAGGTTCTCTGGTGGTGAATGATCGGTTCAACGTGACGTAGTCCCGAAGCATTACCCCGTGCTCTTGATGGGGGCATCCAAACAGATGGCCTACTTCATGTAAGTGGGCACCTATTCCAATGTTGGCAGCCTCCCAGTTGCTGCCGGATTCATTACAGTCATTGGCTACAAAATTGGTATCGGTGGTTGTACAATCAGAGAATGCTGGCACAACTTCTTCGAGGGTAGATGGATAACTTTGTAATGCCTGACTGCCAAAAATGGCTAGTTGAAGCTCGCCGCCTCCACCTCCGAGGGCCGCATGACCAGTGATCATATTGTGCTGTTTCTCCCAATGAGCGTCCAGGAGGAGAACTGTCACATACTGTTTCTGACCTGGCTGAGGCTTAAAATAATTTTTGACATCTTCACTGGCAAAGGAAAATAGATCGCCTCGGCGGGCACCATTTTCATTCTGCTGGGCGACATCAAGATGCCGAAGTTCAGCAACAGTCTTAGAGCTTCGAATAACATGGATTTTGGCTTCACTTCGCATTGTCCCGGCTTCCCGGTCTCTATAGTTCGAGGTGCCCGTAATCCACTCTTCTTCGAATCTAAATGTCCTCCTGCCAAGCTTATTTCGGTACATCTGCTCAGCGGTAAATGCTTGCCACCTGCTAACCGTTAGTCCGTTCTCTTTAGGTAGACAAGACAGATATTGAGACTGATGGAAAAACAAGAATCAAACTGATAGGATATGGTGTCGTCCTCTTCCCCCAAAAAACTTCGTTCCCGGAGCCACTGATTCCACAGGAAGATGCTCATTGCCAATTCCAGCAATGAAAACTTGCCCACTCACCACTAGGATAGTGGAAATTCATACAGATGAGAAATATACGTACAGATAGGCGGCCATTCTGAATTTTCGTATAGCAGTATCCAGGCCATTGCCTTCTCTCTCGATGCGCGAAGGAACAGCATCAAATGTGCCGGGTGAATCTTTTCCAAGCAGTATAACCAATTGAAGTGGAGGATTTGTAAGAGTAGGCAGCATGTGAAGAGTGAGGAAAGAGGAATGTACAGGATTAGGAGAGTTGCTGTTCGCCAGTTTTGGAGATGTGAAATCGAATCTCAATCTATTAGGTCCCGGAGTAAGGTAAACAAGTGCCTTAAAATGAGACTCGGAGACCGGCCAGTATGTCGGAGGAAATCCATCGTCTAGACGAGTGACTGTGAGCGTCCCGTCTATTTGAACTTCTGATGGATCAGATATTGTGCCATATATCGATAAGACCTTTTGGTATACCTGTTTGATGTATATTAGCTTCACCAATTCCGGAGCTATGGTAGGAAAGCTTACCCATGTGTTATCAGTGATAGATAGAATTCGCGGCGAATATGGCGAGACGGGCAAAGCCGACTTTGAAGAAGGGGATCCTACACCCGACATCCCAGATACACTATGTCTATTTGATCCAGTGGTAGAAACAGTTGGTCGAGTTGCTCCCGTACCGTTGAGGTTCGATGAGGACTGTGAATTTGTCATTGTCGGTGGGGTTGTAGCGCCATAAGAAGAATTCAAGGATATTTGCGATTTACTCGAAGTGAAGGTGTTGCTTCGAGGGGCACTCCCACCACTCGCATTACTACCAGTAGATTCACCTGTGCTGGAGTCGGTTGTTTTTGCGCCGGACTTGGAGCGCCTCTTAAAGTCCTTCAAAAAGGAAGGGGCCATGATATAGCTAGAGTAAGGAGTGTAGCTGAAGAGAAGGTCTCCAGATTAGTTAGCTTGCGATGTTTTGATATCAAAGCGAAGAGGGCATTGAAACAATCCTTCGGGATTGATGACAGCGGAGATGATGGCAGACCTTTGGTGGTATTTTATTCAAGGGAGTGCTTCCCTCGACTGGCAGTAGTTGAGAAAGAAGAGTGCTAAATTTAGGACTAAAATGATGAAGCTTCTTGCTTGATGTTCCTGATGGGGGGCTAAGAGGAAAGAGGTTCTCCCGGGATATTTAATCAATGGGGAATCAAAGAAGGCGGATCCTTTTTCAGAAAGGCAAAACGAAGGTGTGAATGGTGGTTGTGAATGTTCTAAATATGTTTAATGGATTTAACGTTTTCCAATCAATCAAGCATAGCTGAGCGCTCGTATCAAAAGCAGATGGACAATAACAACGAAGAGAATGAGTGTACGATGGATGACCTCGGAAATGATATGAAGGAGGATTCTTTAAGAATATTCTGATTATTTTTTATCATTATTATTACGTGTAGATTGCAAGAGAGGATGAGGTATTGTTCAATTGAGATGAAATTGGAAGAGAAAATGGGTAATTAGCTAGATGATCTTTTAATTCATTCTAAAATACGTAGTGAGGGACGTTAGGTAGGTGTAGTAGATGAGTGGAACGGTTGGAGATGAAGTTGGTTAGTAGGAAGGTACCCAGTAGTTAAGTCGATGCAGGTGGTGCGTGATAGTACAAAAGTAAGTGGCAGATAAGAACTTCTGTACCAATCCATATATAGGTAGGCACATATCACCACCATCTGTTGTAGATGTAAATATAAATCTAAATACACATAAATACACACAAACATGAATACGATAATATCATGACAAAAACTGATCCAATCCATCTGCATATCACATCCCACCTAGGAACTCCGTGCTACACTGGAAATTCGAACACATTGAAACTTAAAAGACAACTTTTAGACAAGACGGCAACAGTTTGGCGGGGAGCATGCTTTCAAGGATATCTGTAGTTCCTACCTACCTAGTAGTATTTATCACTGGGGGCCCTTGCCACTAATGACATCCATGAATACTCCGTAGTTATGTTATCCATCCAGCCATAGCCATAGCCATAGCCATGTCCACTGAGCCACTTTATGTTGAACGGAAGAGAAAAAGAGGACTATGATCACACAGACAGTGCATCGTACATCGTATCGTATCGCGTCGTAGCGTAGCGTAAGCCAATTGATGAAACCAATCATCTCGAGATTCTTTTTTTGGATCATATTTTGCTGCAATGGGGGCTTCTTGCATTTCAACTGCATTTCAACTACTCTACATTTCCACTGACACTGCAGCCAATATACATTACCCGTTACAAAGCAATACAATACAATACAACAATACATGACATGACATGACATGACATAACATGACATGATTATCCAACCAACCAACCAAACAACAGTACAACAAGAGACACATGTTTGATGAATGATCGTCAATACCTTCCATTGATGTTCCGAAAGCATCCCTTTGACACAGGGAAATTTTTAGCAGTGGTGTAACTCAATTCACTCTATCTACACTGCTGCAATCATATGAGAATCATGAGTCAACTGTACCTATGCTGTCTTATTATGTGCTGCGGCCTATTGATTCCTACACCACATATCTGCCGTGTTGACTGCGCATTCCAGACTTCAGACTGCAGACTGCAGACTCCAGAGGGGACATGGTAAAAGATGACGTTGTAATGGCACAGGTACGGACTAAAGGAAGAAAAGACTTCTTCCCAGCTACTGTCCCAGCTACTGTCCTAGCTACTGGTAAGTACGGATAGCTAAAGGAAGAGAAGACGCTCATATTTGGGGGGCTCGAAAAACAAACAAGACTTCCTACTCGCTCCAGTAAGTAGTAGTTACATATTCCTCACAGTACACGGTAGGCACCTAGGTAGGCTCATAGCAACGAGCGAGATTGTCTAACAATGCATGGTTCTCATGGAGTGAGTACAGGTATATGATACCATCCTCTGTACGTACCTTCTAGATGCTCCCTCCATACCAAGATTCAATAAACTACCACAGATAGTGTTATTGTATAACACAATTCGTGATTTAATAGGTAAGTGTCGGATCTAATATATGGACAATCTACTCCGGCCTAAACTTCATTAATCTGAACCCAATCTGATTCTGATACAATTCAACAGACTGTTTGATATCTAGAATTTGAGTCTTACCATCAAAAACACCATCTATCATTGGTCAATGCTGGAAAGTTCGGTTTCCCTTTTTCTAACTGCAATTTGTCTCCCTTTCTCTCTTTCTTTCTTTCTTTCTTTCTTTCTTTCTTCCATTCTTCCATTCTTCCTTGGACCCAGAGGCTCTTGAGAAGCTTTCAATTTTCCTGAGCCCTATAATTCGTTCGTCTGAACCACATTACAGAACCTGAAGACCTAAAAAATTACCGCTAATTCATTTAGACCGCTAGACCAATAGCCCCTTAGCAGCTCAGCTCAGTCTGATCACTTCCCCTTGTAAGCGATGGTAGCAGTCCCAGGAATGAACAACGGAATTCTGACCTCTTCATCTTCAATCCGTACCATTTAATCATCATACCATTAATTCACTTTTTTGAAAAACTATACCATAACTCCGACTTTTGGCGGGAGATAATTTTATAAAACCTTCTGTACAATCATTGATTCATATTGCTGTTGACCCGCAACGGAAAACTCGTCCAAGAAAAAAAAAACCAGGTGGAAGAAGCTAAGGCTAATTTCAACCTTTGGCGCCGACCTTCCACCTCTATCTTTAAGACTTTCCATGATATTTGCCTCTTGTATATACTTCTTTCGCAGCCTCATCAACAAGCAGATCAATATTTTCAACAAAGTAGATATTGATTGATATGTCTTCCCCATGGAAGAAGCAGCCAGAGGAGGTAGCGGGAGCGGTATTGAAAAGAGCTGAGTTGAGCAAGGTAGACACCTTCTTGTGCTATTCGAATCAAGTCCACTGCCCCAACACTATACTAATATCAAATTATCTAGATGGCTCGGAAACTGCAAAATCGATTGGCGCTCGCACAATTCAAAGCTGAAAGGGGTTGGGAAGATCTTACACTGGATACAATAGAACCAAGGATGGAAGAAGAACTAAGAAGAAGACGGCCAACCTCAAGTGGAGATATGTTATCGGACTCATCCTCCAGTGTTGCGTCTGAACTACCTTACTCGAACCGAAGAACCTTACTGAGTTCCCCTTTGAAAGCCACTGCCATATTTTCCAATCGAATTGTATCAAGTGGTAGCAGCACTGGGCCTAGGAAGAGGTCGTACCACACTACTTTCCAACAACCAAGCTCAACAGCTGGATCTCGAAAAAGAGTTCGCTCTTCTCCCACACCAAGTAGATTATTACGTCAACCAAACAGCTCCTGGAAAAGTCACCGTCAACTAGCCCAGTCGTCTCCCATCAAGCCACGCAAACCTCACTTCACCACCTCGGCAGGACCGGATCTCTCGTTCTACCGGGGATCTTCACATATGCCAGATGACCTTACCTCCCCCAACTTCGCAGCCCCATCTGACGATGAAGACAGCCACCTTCCTCTACATTCTTTTAATGTCCGACCTTCGTCTCCGCGAACCCCGTCCCCCATTAGGAACAGAGGCAACCCACACCGTCGAATCAAGGAAGGTAATGGCAGGTCAGCAGAAGAAGAAGCGGATCTTTTACTGTACCTCAGTAGCCCCGCAAATCCAATTTCACGAACGAACATGATGCAGCCACCATCTACACCGCCGTCCAGGAAGCTTGATTTGCCATCATCTATGATGACGACTCCGAGTTATAGCGGTGGTTTTTCGATATTCGGTGCGCCGGCCACACCTTCACAAGGGTTCGACTTCGCCGATTTTGTCAATATAACACCGAGTCCCGCTCAAACGACTTGGACCCCAAGAGCTGCAAAGACCCCATTAACTGTTGCACGTAGGCGCTTGACTTTTGAGAACTTTCATCCACAAAATGCAAGCCCATCCAGGCGTGACAGTCCTGCTTCTAAGCATGCCGGACTCGGCATGCAATTGGGTGGTGACCTTTTACCCTGATTTATGCTTATTTTACGTTTACGATTCACATTGATGTTTACGAGCATCAACTTCTATTCTCACGATTATGTTACTTTGTATATGAATTTGACGGCTCTTATAATGTTCTTTCTGCAGGTGGTACGAGCAGAAGTTTGGTGTTTAGGTGGGAAGCTAATATCCTGGAAGTAAATCCCTGGTAGGGATATGGAAGATGTGATAAGTTTGGTTAGTTTTATTGTATTCTATGTCATGGCGGTAAGAAAATATATGATAGGAAGAGACGGCGGGATGTCACCAGCGGGGTCGTGTGGAATAGGGAAAGGGAAAGGAGTGGAGAATAAGGGAAGGAAATCCTTGAGAGCGCGTCTTTTTGTCTTTTGCTCACTACCTATCTAGATAGAATGACGAATTTTCGTGTCAAATTCGCGATATGGGGATTTCAATAACCAATGAACGTCAAGTTATCAGGAAGCAATTGTCCTAGAATTTATGATTGGTGGATTGATAAAGTGGCTTACAAAATATGGGGCATGACGATGTGATAGGATCACATCTAGATTCTGTGCAAAGTAGGTAGGTATACCTAGATACCTCGGGTGGCTCGGGTGAGTGTGCTCCGTATGTGCCTAGTAGTATATACATATGTGTGTATTTGCAGTGATTACTATTGCATGGGTTTGTTTGCGTATGCCTTCCTGTCCCACTGGCTATCGGATTATTACATATTAGCAAAAAGACCCTTGGTAATTTCTGTTTGCCAGCTTAATTTATTGTATGCATACGCCGCCAATTGTTGGGACTGGGACGCTATGTTGACTTAGCTACTCGATCACCAGTGTGATCATATATTTGCTTCATTCATCACCCTTCGCACTCCAGTGCTTGCCACATCACCTCAAGGACTGTAGTAGCACGTTGTACAACTTATTCGAAGCTGCGCCTTTGCTGCATATCGGAGATATGACTTCTATAAGTATTTGGGTAGCTTTCTCCCTCTTCTTCTATTTCATTGCGAACAGGATATACAAATCACGCATATATTCTGCCAAACTGCGCAAGTTCGGGTGTCAAGAACCAGTACCGAAAGACACCATCGGCCGTTGGCCATTCGGTCTTGATATCATCAAGATAGCTCTGGAGGCCGACCGAGGAAAATTCTTCCCAACCCTCCTTCAAAGAAATGTCGAACAATACGGCATAACATTCAAGTATACGATCATGAACACGTCAAGCCTTTTTACAGTAGATCCTAAGAATGTAAAAGCCATTTTGGCAACACAATTTGATGATTTTGATCTAGGGCCAATGCGGATAGGGGCCTTCTGGCCTATGCTTGGGAAAGGCATATTTACACAAGATGGCCATGAATGGAAGGTAACGAGGGATATGATGAAACCTCAGTTCAATCGGGATCAAATGAGTGATTTCGAGGTGGAGGAGAAGCATGTTCAGAATTTGATGAAGGCTATAGATACCAGACTTCAGGGTGACTGGACCGAAGAGATAGATCTACAGGTTCTTTTTTTAGATTGACCATGGATTCTGCAACAGAAATTCTACTTGGACAGTAAGTAGAATATTTACCACACTTCCTTTGCACTCTCCCCCAAATATCTCGGGGGCGGTATGCAATAATCTTTGATGATGTACAATGATAACTAAGCTAACAATCGTTTTAGGTCTGCTGATTCCCAGCTTCTCGATCTGCCAGAAAATCAAACAAAAGCCCAGGGTACCAGAATAGATTTTGCGGCTGAGTTTGACAACGCTCTATCTTGGCTTTCTACTCGTGGCCGTTTTGCTGATATGTATTGGCTGGTCTCCAGCAAAGACTTCAGAAATTCTTGCAACAAATGCAACGAATATGTCGATCATTTTGTTCAACTTGCTCTTGACAGAAACTCACTAGCCAAAGATCAAGACAAAGATTATTCAACCGCCACCAAGAAGAGGTACATTTACCTGGACGCTCTTGCCAAGGAAATACAAGATCCAATCGAGCTTCGTTCTCAGTGCTTACATTTGATGCTAGCAGGTAGAGGCACGACGGCCTCGTTGTTAGGATGGTTGTTTCTTTTATTCGCTCAGAATCCCATTCATTACCAAAAGCTGCGCAATATCGTCATCGAAAACTTTGGAACATACGAAAATCCTTTGGAAATAAACTTCTTGGACCTCAAAAATTGCCGATATCTCCAACATTGTTTGGATGAAGCTTTGCGACTTTATCCACTTGTACCTTTTAACGTCAGGCAGGCAAACAAGGACACGACCTTACCACATGGCGGTGGAAAGGATAGAAAATCGAAAGTCTTTATTCCAAAAGGGTCAATAGTCGAATACAGTGTTTACGCCATGCATCGTAGAAAGGATATATGGGGTGATGACGCTGATGAGTTTCGACCTGAGAGATGGGAAGGAAAGAAAGTGGGATGGGAATTTTTACCTGTAAGTTTGGGTTCAGCTCTTTTCCCGTCCGAGGCTTATTACTAACGCTGAAAAGTTTAATGGCGGTGCAAGGATTTGTATCGGACAGCAATTTGCCTTGAATGAGGCCGGTTACGTTACTGTCAGGCTTCTTCAGAGGTTTGATATGATTCGAGATATGGCAACGGACCCAGTCGTGGAACATGAACTCAAACTCACAAATTCCTCCGCCAACGGTGTTAAAGTCAAGTTACATGCTTCCACTGCATGAGAGCAGATGTGTCCAGTATCATGTGCCATACGTTTTATTTCTCATTTTCCTCAATTGGTCTTGGAAAATTGGCGATTCTGCATAACTTGGTGGTATGAGACTAGAAAGTAACGATTGTATTTGGATTGGCATTGATGCACGAGTTCAAATGACAGGTGAAAAGTAAATAGCTCAGCAGTCAAATATTTCATGACCTAGCTAGTCTTGTTCATTAATTCAACTCAAACTCAAATACTCAATCATGCTAAATCCAGCTTTTCAAGAATAACCTTAATTTCTTCGGCGAGGAAATCTGGATCATCAATTTGTATAAAGTGGCCGCAGCCACTGGCAATTTTCACACCCTCGCATCTATCTTCATCTGTGATACTCACTAGACCAGCATTATATTTGGCCCAATACCTTCACAACGTTGATTAGTCAAACATTCCCGCCAAGAGCACTGCAACAACACAAACTTACGGATTCGTAAACCTCATACTCATGCTCTTGGGTGTTCCCATCCTTTCTAAACTCGCATCCGCAAACGTAATCGGATCATGCCCTACAACCGTAAGCCACGGACCTTTTCCATCTGTACCAATAAGTTTAGGGTTATCGGCATAGGGGAGTAATTTTGGACCAGGTCGTCGATCCATGGATTCTGAGTTTGGGACGGATAAGTCAAATACACTTGTCAATCGTGTGCGTGCTTCAATGTATTGGGGAAGTGAGCAGTCTGGTGCGAGTACGGTAGAGGGGTCGAAGGTGGGGGATAGAGGGTCCGGGAGGAAATCGCTGTAATTCACGTTGGCGATGTTGGAGTCAAGTGCGATAAGCGCGGCGCAAATGAATGGATGGGATTGTACATAGAGACGGGCTATGGGGACCTGATGGAAATGTTATTCTGAGGTCATACAATTGAAGAAATAAGGCATAGCTCATCGGTTGTCGTAGACAGGGCGAGAATTTTTTTACAAAATACCTACTCCAATTGAGGCAGCCACGAATGTTACACTCAGTCTCCCATCTTCGACATCGGTTTTGTCAAGCCCAAGTTTCGTACTAGCGATAACCAGAATAATTTCGTGAAGATCATTTGCAGCGTCCATGAAATCATGTCCATAACCATTTCCATCATCTAGAGGATCTCTTGCAGTAGTCAACCCCTGCCCATAACGGTCAAATGTCAAGAGTGGTGGGGCTTTCTTGGCATGAGATCGAAGAACTGATATACATGACTCCCACGATGAAGCGGGAAGACCGAGTCCATTTACAAAGACAACAAGGGTGTGGTCGAGCGGGACATTCGATTCTGAGAGGGTTGAAGAAGGTACGTGTGGGAAGAAGGTGTAAGATATCGGAGCATGTGGCTTTGAGGGAATAGTGAGGAAAGATGGATACGGGTCGATCGGAGAAGGATCAGAGGATTGTTCCATTTCCGAAATTATGGAAGTTGACTAATTCATCATATCTAAGCCTTTTCGACACTCATGAAGTGGATCGATGATATATTCAGCCTTATGGTAAGGCGGGGACACAAGACTCAAAACAAGGGCCGCTCGGGCCGATGCTTTGAGATTGATCTACTTATCTTATCTCAATCGGTAAGCGAACTATCTATCCATGTAACCTTCCGAGCATACCAACCAATCTTTGTGCTTCGGTAAGACAAATAACAACATATCATCCCGACGCAGATCACGATTTGAGAATGGCATCTCCAGCTGTCCCGCTGAAGCGAACCTATAATCACAAACCACACTCTTCCGAAGATTTGAAAATCAAACGTATCTGCACGGCGGCAAGTATAGCTGCTGCAAAGATATCACAACGGGCACCTACAATCGAACAAGTTCTCACCATCTCAGAAGATGCGGTTTGGTCGCTCCGCAAATCCGACCTCCGTACCCACTTTCTTACTCTGCAACAATATACTCAATCACTTTCCAACGCAGTGCCAAGAGTCGACTCTGGTGCAGAAATCCATGATGATTTGAATGAGATCCCTTCCTCCGAGATCCTTCCCCCACTCCTACGTATGCCAGTTGAAATCCGTCAATTAATCTATCGTCATTTGCTGACACCTGCCTCCAATGACCCCCGCCTTGGCCCCCATCCTCGCCAACTCCAGTCCCACATTTATCTTTCTCGCGCTTTCGAAGTCGCCGTTCTGCATCTGAATCGCCAAATATATCACGAAGCGCTCCCAATATTTTATGGCGACTCCCTTCAAACCATCTCTGTAACCGTCAACTACAATCTCTGGGCACACAAAACGCAACGCTCCGATTTAGTTCTCTCCTCATTCCTCACCTCGTCTATTCGGAATTTATCCCTTTCCATCCAGCTCGGTAGCGAGAAACGAAAACAGAAACCCGATGACTTCGAAGCGGAAGCGAGACTAATAGAAGTAACTAAAGGAATTAAGAAATTGAGGAAATGGTTAGCAGGAGCTGACATCCAAGTTTTGAGGATTGGGTGGCAAGAGCCCCGCAGACCTACACATTGGAACAGAAAAAAGAGATCTTGGATGGACTGAGAGCTTTAAGGGCAGTAAAAGTGGAGGCCGGGGATATTAATTGGGGGCTAGATTGGAACAAGGGAAAGAAGTTCAGGTTTGACGTTGATTATTTAAAAGAATTGGAAAGAGAGCGATCCTGACAGTGGCATGTTAGGATATCTACACGTGAAAAGTTCCATGTAAGACAAAAGTTGGAATACTGGAGCTTCAACTTATTAAGCTGATCTATTGCCATTCATGACATTACAATATTTCCCCATTAAATACAATTTACCCTAACGCCGCGCTATGCATCATCAAGTCCACCCCATTTTAATATTGAAGCAACTTCTGCCCACTCTTTCCATCCGATTTCTGTGTTGAGAAGGAGCAGAATTGATCCTTAATGGCCACTACTTCATAAGTACCTTCCTGCGAAGACTGTATCGTCTTGCTGTGTTCATATGAAATCTCATGTCTGGTCTCCAGCACATGAGACTTCTGGCCCTTCTTCGCGTTCGTACTTCTTGTGTACGTGAACTCAAAAGGCGGTACGCCCCAGAATTCGAATAGCAGTTCAGCTTGCCCTCCCTCGTGAATATCAACTTCCACCTGCCTTCCTTTACTGATCTTGACGCTGGGCATTTGGTGAATAATCTTTGTGATCTCAGTCTTTGCTTTACATTCGCTGGCCTTATCCGATATAGCAGTTATTGTGAAGTTTCCTGGCTTCTCGGCAATACGTCTGAAACTAGTATTTGGTGATTTTGCTTTCCTTTGCACATTCTCAAAAGTATAGTAAATTTCAAACGGCGCTGTGCCCGATAATGTGTACCCGATTCGTTCTCCCACACAGTAGTCTGTACGAGACTCCAAGGGATGAATAGTAGGAACGTCGTAAACTTGTACTTGTACATGAGGAGCACCATGTTCTGTTTTTTGCTGACACCCTCTGGAGTCGCGAATCTTTCGTACACTGACTTGATGAATGCCTAGCGACAGCACTCGGTGAGGTATCCGGAAATCATAATGATTGGAATCGATATTGGCAATCTTGACAGTTTCTGGTCTTGCACTACTCTGATGTTTAATGTCGATCTCAAGGTAGAATGGAGGAATGCCCTCGAGTTTAATAGGGATAACCTCATCCCCAGCGAGCTCTTCCTTGCAATATTTATATGATTGTCCTGGTTTAATGAAATTTGCAGCTGGCTTCCTGTTAACCTTTTGCTCAATGATGAGCGGCGAAAACTTCTTGGAGTCATGGTCATAAAGATTGTCGGAGAGCTCCGAGAATTTATACTCATAAAGACCAGGCTTGATTGTGTCCATGGAAACAGTTGAAAGTCCAAGACCTGCGTCAAACTCTTTATTACTGATAGATGCCGAGCCATGTTCCGGCTTGTGACGAATCTCATATTTGACGTGGTAAGGGGGGAACCTGTAAATTATTAGCCGAGTCAGATATGACCCTGAGCGAGTAGCTTGACTTACCAATAAGATTGACCTCGACTGCATCTATATCACCTTCGCATACTTCATGCTTAACATATTTCTTACCATCCAGCACAAGAGCCGAATTATCAGCAACTTTAATCTTCGGTCTTGGAAGCCAGTCAACCTCAAATAAGGATGCCTTGGGATCGACTGTCCCGGGACACTGATTATCGTTTACATCAAGTAATTCGTATGTACCACGAGCATCCACCTTAACCGCATCATTGGTTGACATAGCAGTCTTTTCCAAAATCTTACCAGAATCATCATTTACATTTCGGTATTTGATGCTCCAAGGAGGCTGACCAGTCAAGCGGAGAGGTAGCGTATGTTGGTGCCTCGATGGTCATAATCTTGCCATCCAGGTGACCAAAAGCAACTCGAGGTCTTTGGTGTCTCACCATAAATTTGACCTCGCCGTTAAGGAATATCTTGCAGCCTGTTTTGTCCTGAACGCTTGCAAGAGCGAGAGAATATTCTCCACCAGTGACCAAAGGATCCGTCTTTATCTTGTAGATGTCGCTTTCGATTCCAGTGACCTTTTGCTTTCGACGTCTTCCGTCATGAACAATCTCGTATTCCAAGGTAAAAGGTGGTTCGCCAGAGAGCTCAACATTCATCTCCACAGGCTCTTCGATGCATGCGTCAATATCACCTGCAGGCCGTCTAAGATAGGCCGAAGCCGGTGGCTTCACATCTTGTTCCAGAACTAAATCATTGCTATTCAATTTGTGGTTCTTGTAAACAGCATCATCCACTGAGGTAAACTGATATTTAAAATGACCTGCATCGCGAGGCTTGAGCTCCAATTGATGTCGTAATCCAGATACTTTCACCGATTCATGCTTGAGACCACTCTTTGTAATTATGTTGTACCTTACAACGAACGGTGGAGTGCCTATTAGATCAAGGTCAACAAGTAAGCCAATGGAATTGCCAGCACACTTGTCGTTGATATTCTCGGCGCTTATAGACAGCTGTGGCTCGGGTGGGTTCAGCAGTAAGCAAGAAGCAGGCTCCCTGACTTCACCTTCACAGAATTTGCTCTTAACACCCACCAGGGTATAAAGACCTGGTTCGCGGATATTTGGCGATTGGTGGGCATTCCGGGCAGAGTATTCCTCAAAAATCACCTCGCTGCCATGATCACCCGCGGCGGTCAGAGTGTCAAGGGGAGAGAACTTGTATGTCAAAGTATGAGAAGTGTCGTCTGGTGTTCGGCCAGGCGATGCATATTTTACCGGAAGTTGTGTGGATTGGCCGATAGCAACCATAAGTGGACTCCTAGAATCACAGCCTGTGAGCCTTGCGAGGGGCCTCTCATGGACTGTAAGACTCTGTTCCATGTGTGTATTCTTGGGATAGATGAGCTCTCCATCTTCACCAATGAGCGTGAAATTTGCGACATTTCCAGTAGCGTCGTGAATCTCATTGATCGAGTATAACCACAAACCACTGGGGGTCATAGATTCATTCAATGGAATAACAACCTTTCTAGCTTGTCCCCATGAAACATCCTGATTTCCTAGAGTAAGTAATGTGCTGGGCCTAGTTGAACCCAGGAGCGGCGACACGAAGTTCTCCGGTTGATTACTCTGGAAGTGGAAACTGCGATCTTTGTCGTTGATGGTACGTCCATACACAATCTTCAACGGGGCTGTTCCCTCAAGCTCGATAGAGAGGTCGGAAAGATCTCCCAGACACTTGTCCGAGCTCGTGGACCTGATGATGGCTTTAGGGCATTTTACAACAAGCGTATCAGACATTCTCCGCTGTACTTCGAGCTTCGACTGATCTATAATCTTGTGAAGCCTGTATAATCCCGGTTTCTTCACAATGTAATCAAGCGTATAAACGTTTGGCTCATCATCCATCTTTCGAAAGTTCTTCATGTCTCTTTTCTTCAGCTCTATCGTTTCGTTTGCATTTGTATCGAAGTCGAAGCGTAATAGTTCAATGTGTACAGGTTTGGTCTGGTTAAAATACATCGGGAGCTTGACAGAAGGACGACTACTGTCTAAACAGAATGGAAGACCATCCGGATTCAATGTCGCGGATCTGTTATATATTAGTACGATATAGCAAGTTGTAAAGTATATGACCTTGGTCAAGACGTACCCCTCTGGCAATATATTGATAATTTGCCTACCCATGATCAAAGATGAGTTGTGCAAAATGGTGGCAGGCCGAACACTGTTCTCCGAAATGGCGAGTTCACTGTCGAAAAAGGTCTTCGTAAGAAGTAGAACCCACCCTTGGAGTGGAAGCTTTGCAAATTAGCTTTATTGTCACCAAAACAGAATCAGGGACCACTTACGCCAATCCTGAACATCAGCACGAAATCAAAAATAGCGTGCAGCCCAAAAGCTACATGAGATGTCCATTGTGACCACTCCAACCACGGTATTCGTAGTTTTGGTACCCAGTATAAAAAGAGAGCGTCCAGCATTACCCATTTCATGAATAATGGGAAAGACTCTGATTCATCCTCTACCAACTGCCACCAATCATATAAACGCCATACAAGTAGCAAGCCATATAATCCCGTAACATACATGCGCTGGCTAGGAGCATCAATAAGCTCTACCGGTATCAATGGCGCATCGGATTCTATCGCAGCAGGCGAGGCCGTTGGAAGATCCCGCAATGGGGATGTTACTCGTCCCGTCGGATTCCTTTGGCCACTGCCAGGAGTAGGCGGAAAGCCAGAACGCATTCTAGGAGTCCCATTCATTGTATAGAAGCTTTATAATCATTGCATTCTTTATATCTTGACGAAAGTCGTTGAAGGCCAAAGTTGAGAAGGGAGGTTTATTCGTTGAAATCGTGTCAAACAATAAGCTGTATTGAGTGGGCAAGCTATTCGCGAAAGTTAATAAGAGAAGAAAAGGAGGATAAAGAGGAAGATGAAGCCGAAAGAGCTCGATTGTTGTAGTTATTTGTGTAAAGGAATAGGTACCGTACAATCGAAAGGTGAAGATCCCAAGTTTCCTCTCAAAGCACAGAATTTGCCTAAGTCGCGAGTGAAGTTCCTTGTGGGACGCGTTTTTTGAAATTTGTGAATTTTTGTTGTTTCCAGCGCCAGCATTTCCAAAGCTTTGACCACTTTCATGGTAATTGACATCAGGAAGATCTGATATATATCTTATGACATTGGTTTGGGTAGAATTTGAAGATGATAAAGCTTCCAATTCAATACAATAATGATTGATTGATTTAATGTGAAACTTCGAAAAGGGTAGGCAGGTAGTTACCAATAACTATCTAGCTCTAGGCATTTCTCTAGTGTACGATTTGCCCAGTATTTTGTCTATGATTGCCGTCCATACAGTTCTAGTATCCTCCTCCAAGCCCATGCCAGCTTAGGTGTACATGTGTTCTTCTTGCAGCATCCAGAACATCTATCTACATCTACTTATATCAATCTATCTCCTTTAACATTATTGGAATGGCAAAGAACATAAAGCCAATTGATCCGAGCAAGTGCAATTAACAATTCACACATGAGAAATTCAAAGGATTCAAAGCGCTTCTCTATATAAAACCTAACATTGATAACCAAAAAAGAAATGCTTTCTTTCCTGACTATCTGCTTGTCTCCCTACTAATCATCCGCACCTAATTGCTTGCCCAAATCAAGTACTACCCAGGTCATGACACACAACACAAAGTTATCCATCTACCTTACATTTATCGACCTGCCTAGGTACCTTTCTTCACCCACTCGGTACTTGTACATCACTAGCTACTGATCATCTTGGGCCTCATAATTTGGTATCCCGATACTTTCAACCCACTCCTTCCTCGCTTCAATTTTCTGTATTACACAAATTCAGCACGTCACTCTGAAGCCCAAAGTTTGGTCATTTCTTCAATCACTTTGCCGTCTCAAGGTTGCGCAATTGGAGCAAGCAAATGATGCATGGCTCTCCGGTATCAGAGGACTGTTCAATACAATCTACAGCTTCTGATGTTGGCCCAAGAAGACGCTCCTCGAGGTATCAAAGAAGGTCCAAGTCTCCAAGTGGGACTATACGGATAGATGTGGGAATGGCACGGGAACACAAAAGATACAAAGTGAATCAATGGGTCTTGCGACAAGTCGCCTCGGACGTTTTGGCCAAAACATCAAGAGATCAGAGTCTGAGATCCTCGATGATGCATTAAAGCCCTTAACGGATGACGAACGTAAGTCTTGGAAGGGATGGTGTGAGTTAGAGAGTGATCCAGTAAGTTGCTTTTCGGGGTGGTGGGATTCTTTAAGTTGACATATGTCGTTTGCTAGGCACTTTTTAACTACATATTACGAGAGTATGGTGTCAAGGATGTCAAAATCCAGGAGGTTCTTGGCCTGGAGGACGAAATGTTACAGTATTTACGGTATGAAAATTTCCGCTTCCGCCAATACTTGAAACCCAAATTGACATTATCCAAGGAAACCAGTTTATGGATTAGTCTTCCTATTCAAATACATAGAGGATGACTCGGAAGATGAAGAGACACCTCTAAAATGTCCGAACCACATATGGTTTGCCAATCAAGTTAGGCAAGCCCAAGACCTTGATGAGAAATTGACTAACAGAACGTAGACTACACATAACGCCTGTGCTACTATTGCCCTTCTGAACATTGTTATGAACGTCCCGAATCTTGATCTAGGGGACGGTATTCGCAGTTTCAAGGAAGACACTCAATCTCTAAAACCAGCATACCGAGGTCAGAAACTCAGTCAGAACGAGTTTATCCGAAACATTCATAATTCATTTGCTCGAAGAATGGATATTTTGAATGCAGATTTGGGTCTCTCGAATGAGGTTTCAGCTTGGAAGAAAAAGAGGAAAACGAAAAAGAAATCTGGGAGAAGCAAGTCTAGGTCAGACGTGGAGTCAGGTTTTCATTTTATTGCATTCGTTCCAGTAGAGGGCGTTGTGTGGAGACTCGATGGCTTGCAACGTCAACCAGTCACTTTAGGTAGGTGAAAATAGCAATCGGTCGAATAATACTGACAAGTCAAAGGGCCGTGTAATGATGACTGGATTTCCGTTGCTCGTGCCAGTATCTATGAGCAGATTATCAAGTACGGCGATGATTTGCAGTTCAACCTTTTATCTTTGTGTAGAAGTCCTCTTCGGATAATTCCACTAGAACTCGCCCAGAATATCCACGCCATAAAGCGTGTTGAAGATTTACTAGCACAACGGATGTCTGATTGGAACGACTTCAATCAGGTTGATGATTCCGAACTGATGAGGGGACCCTCGGAGGAATTTGGTGTTACAGACAAACTACTTCACGATACAGCACTTCCAGAGAGCACATGTAATATACTCGAGCGAGAGAGTACTAATGCGAGCGCCCTTCTTGGCCTACAGCAGCAGTGGGCTTCCGACCAAAAGGCACTACGCATCGCTTACAGAGAAGAATTGGCATTGATTGACGACGAGAATGAGCAGGCAGCGAGACGGAAGAAAGACCATACGCCAATAGTCTATCGTACATTAAAGAGCCTAGCTGATAAGGGAATTCTAAAAGAGATCATAGACGAAGTTCAAGCAGTATAAATTGAGCATTAGAACCTGTTGGCTGTTCAATCTTACAGAAGATTCAATTGTAGTAATACATGTATATACCAACCCTAGTCATCAGGATATTCATCCCTGAAATTCGCAATAAACTGACAGTTTTCCTGATCATATCGCTTGAAGTATTGTCCCGCCACTATCATCAACGATGTCAAGTCCGGCTGAGCAACGATCTCTATGTTGTCCTCAGCGACATAACGTAAGCTAGCATCTTCTACGCTGTTGAATTCGTAAGCGCTTCCACTCTTCACAGCACATCCTAGGGCTACTTACAGTACATGATAGAAGCTTTGGTTCCTACCTCCTGGGTAAGAATCGATCTGGTGCCGCGCTATCCAATTGGAGCCCATGTGACATCCAACATCCCAGCCAATTATCGCTCCTGTATAACCGTATCTTTGATGGCGAAATACTTGTCCAATCCTGAATTTTACCCGATCCGTTCCACTAGATTTGTTGCGAGTCCGTACTTGCCTCGGAGTCGAGTCTACCGTGCGAATTACTCTCAGTTCCTCGACTAGTTCAGAGTACTCGTTACTTGAACTGTTGTATGACGAAAGGATATATTCTTCGATAAGGCCGACGTCCTCCGGGAAGGATTTCTCGAATTTAGCCATCAGCATGGGTACTAGTTGATGCTGGTTATGACCAGGAGGTATTGGGGTTGGGTTTAAAAGAAAGCTTGCCCAGGTGACTGAGTATATTGCATGATCCATTTCCAATAATGGCACACTTTGTAATCTAGTAGTCACGAGGGATGGGTCTTGTGCGGGACGGCTTCGTATATGGGGAAACTCTCGAATGGTTGTAACTATATTTCTAGTCGTGCGGAGCACAATATTGTTGGTAGCAGAAGAATCCGCGACGAATTCGGAGAATGATACTCCTCGGACACCCCAAGCCGTCCATAATCGCTGAAGATTTTCCAAGGGGATTTCTGATGCTGATCGGAATGGATCTAAATACATGGGTTCCACGGCGCTGTCCTTCTGTTTAAGTGGCTTGTCATCGAGGTCTATAGAAGGCTTTGGGAGAACCATAGCATATACGTGACTCGGCATACCACAGACCCTAGCATCAAGTCCAGTTCTTCGAGCTACCGCACAAAATATTGCGACAGAGACCAGTGGCAACGAAGAATGCTCTGGCTCCTGCAGTGCTAGACTGATATAGTTATTTTGTAAATTGCGATAGTTGAGTTCATTATTGAGACCTAAAAGGTTACGGTCGCGCAGAAACGTAACAATTGCGAGGGCTTGTTGTCGAGTAGACATACAATCGAATTTTGGGTAGTCAGTTCGAACACGAGTGGCAAGGTCGTCAAGAATATCGGAAACCTATGCCAATTTGTTAGCTAGAATTCACATACATACAGCAATATGAAAGGGGAAATACATACCTCCTGAAAATCCCCGATGTTGTCATGTAGAACAAACATATCGTAAGCTCCCAGTGCTGTTTCTAGGGATACCTCCTCGCCCCTAGCAAGCTTCGACCATACTGCGAGAGCTTTTGAGCGATGAATAAAGTCAAGCACTGCACAAGCATAGTACCTATACATGTATATATTAGAAAAGAAACTATCTGCAGGTTGAATAGCTTACTTTCTAGCAAGATAATCATCGCCACGCATGCGACTGTGTCGCAAAAGCGCATCTTTTGCATCATATCCAAAACGTCCAATTTCTTCGAAGTTCACAATACGATTAGCTCGACTCTCGAGAAGACCATTCAAAGCGGTTGTTGTTCTTGCATCTACGTTTTCCCGATGGATATATAAGCCTTTCCAATTCACATCTCCTACAATACCGGCAAACTTTTGAAGGACGGCATGTCTCGCATCCCAGTACTTGAAGTGTACGCGACAGTGGTATCGCCAAAGTAATGGCTCATTTCCCAAGCGATTGAATCGCTTTGAAACAAGTTGGATATTCGAGAGAGTATCGTGCGGAGAACTGAAGTAGAGTATTTGTTGCACAATCTCATCGGGAAGAATTTCAAAAGTAAAACCTCGGCTTGCAGAATCGTTAGGAGTCATCGCAAAAAAAGAAATGCCAATTTGGCAGTCGTAGTTGTGCTCTGGAATTCACCTCTCGAATCTGATTGATGCGTCACTTCAGATAAAACGAAATAATTGAGTTTTTGAAGTCGAGGGTCGTGAAACTTGAGAATGCTCAGGACTGGCGCGGAGTCGTTCAAATAGTTCAGATAGTTCAGACGGCAAGTCACTAATAAAGGATGAGTATTTCCCTATTCACTACCTAGGTAAAGAAATGTATGACGGAGATTGAAACAAACATCATTTTGTATAACCCTATCTGAGCCAAAGAAATCCGGCCATACTTGAAGAGAATCACTGGAATAATGATAAAAATTCAAACAATTGAATCGGGCGTCCATAAGGATTTGTTTTGAAGAATTCACAGCACAGTATTGTATGAGGATATCGAGGATTCCATTTTATTGTTGTGGTATCGCCTATCAAATGCACCTTGGCTGAAGTAAGTACATCATAACCAGCTCCACCCGCACAATGCGCATACTGTCATACTGTCTAGATACAAAACTATTTTACCTACCCCGCTTCAAAGTAGAATAGATAACCCCTCCCTTCACAATGATATGCTATGATGTTCAATAGACAGGTTATAACATCTACATCTACAAATACATCTACAACTGAAACCACATCTAAAACCCACAACTACAATCGGGATCTTCTTTATTTTGCATTGGAAAATGTGATAAAATGATTGTGCTGTTGTATGTATCATATCTGTATCTAATAAACATCCCGATTGATAATTTCCATTGCCATCGCCGTTGAACGCCGTAAAGTGATGTCTGGGCCACGCCTGCTCCCGCTGAAGATGATGAATGCTAAAAGCGCTTTCCAACGGCTCCCTTTACATGATAGTGCAATATCTTTGTAAAGGGGTTTGCTCCGAAGGATGGGTATAGTAAATGCCGAACCTCTCCTTGCCATCTATCGTTTCGTGCTCAATCTGTTTTTCCTTTGTTTCTTTGGGAAAATTCCTCAAGAGAAACTTGGAGAGTTTTTCATCGATGTTATCTATAAGCATCAGTTGGGGACTCTTCTACTTTGTTCGGATCTGCGTGTTGGAAATTACCTTGATCAGCCTTTAAAATCACTTCGTCTCGGCACAAGGGGCAGGCATTGGTCCCACGCCGCTGCATGAACACCGTGCATCGAACACATAGAACATGATTGCATTCCATTCTTATTGGTCGCCATACTATCGCCAGACAGACAGGGCAAGTATAATCACTCAACTGAGGTACTATTTGAACAAGATCCTGTGTCACCTGTGCGCATACAGATCTGGCCATCGCTTCCGTCATGATAACGTCGGACTGGATCAGTCTGGGGAATGTTTGCCTAGCACCAAGTGTTGTCCTTTTATCAAATTCTAATTACATTAGCTGTGATTCCATAGGATAAAGGGTATTGTCATTGTGGTGCCCAGATATTAGCCATGAGAATTAGACAAGTGTAGAACGTACTTTTCAATATCTTGGCAATTGCTTTTTGGTTAATCTCCTGAAATTGGAGATTTCGGAGTAGCGTAACATTAATGCTGATAAACTGGTTCACTATCAAGGTCAGTATCTTCACTCTGGAAAGACTAGAGTGTACAATACGTACATGCTTTACGGCTAGGGGATAGTTTGAATGTATCTACAATACCTCTCTTGACTACTTCACTCTGGAACCATCTGCGAAAAGTATCATTAGTCAAGTACCGGCGTGCCTACCAAAATGTGCTTACTTACTGTAAACGCTTTAATGCAGCTACACTATCACGCTTACCATGATCCTTTTCGAGGTCCGAAAAGAATATTCCAGCCTGTACGTAAACATCAAACAATTCTCTCCACCGATACTGGTCGGTCTTTTTGAACCTTGAAGGCTCGCTGAGCTTAACGAGCTCTTTTGAAAGATCGCCAACCTCAGCGACGAGAGCCCGTTGTTCCTCGTCTTGGAGCGCATCAAGATTTTCAACATCTCCCTGCAGAAGACCGAAGAATTCTGCATCGAAAGTCAGAGGCACTTCGACTTCTCGAACAAGAGGTCGTTCCACCTCAATCTCTGATGATGGATCTCTACAAGTCATGTCAACAACTGGTATACACATACCCCTGGGAAGCAAAGGAACACACTCACATAGGAACAATTTGGCCACCTTCGTCACCAGCGGGATCGGATAGCGACACGTCTGAAAGATCCCGATGGTGACTTACCAGATCCTCTAGATATCTTCTCGTGTCAGCTGACAGCCTAGCATCAACAGTAACACCTTGTTCAAGCCGTAAGATGAGGGTGGGCCGAAATTTTGACCCTTCTTCAATTAGTTTCTTTACGCAGATCAACATAAATGTAGAAGGTTGTTCATACCCTTGAAATCATACAAGTAAGCAGGACCAGTACTGGAAATCTCTCTCAACTTTGCAAGCGCAGCAGGATCCAGACCGCATTGTGCTAACTCGGTCGCAATCTGGGTTACTTTAGCTTTTGTCAATCGTTGCGAAATTCTGACCGACCTTTTTAAGAGATTTCTTTAGCAGACCATAAGGAATGGCAGAATCTACCCAGCGTGGCGGAAAGCCTTCTCTGGCAAGGGCATCTTTGAATTCTTTGGCAAATTTCATAATAAAGGCATGCAGTACAATAAAATGCAATTAGTCGATTAATGTTGGAAATCTGTCGCTCTGTCTGCTATAAGGCTATTGGGAAGAAAGATTTATGTGGCATTGTTTGAAAAGAGCAAAAGGGGTGGGTGGTATGGCGATGAGAATATTTACAATTTTTCGCGCAGGGCAAGGACTATCTTGACTGTTGGTTGGGATTCTTAAGGATGCAGATAGCGAATAGGCATAGAGCTTTAAGCTTAGGTATCAAATTATCGATGAAGAAGTGTGATAGGTAAGAGCAAGATATTCTAGAGGAAGAAGATTTCTCCAAAGCTATGTATTCGTAAGATGTAGGTAGAATTATTTACAATGAGTAGGAGTGCGTGGGAGTGCGTGGGAGTGAGTAAACAAAATCAATGTGAGCTTACCTGGTAGACTGTTTGAAGGTGTGACTGGACTGGGTTCAAGATAGCTAGTAGCTAATCAGATGTCCAGACAGGCAGGGACAAGTACTTGATACAGGCAATGTCCGCCTCAATATGAATCTATCAAATGTCCAAAAACTTGCAAAGACTATCCTTCAAGATCAAGGTACTCACGCCACAGGGAATTCTGACTTGTAATAAGTCTTGGGTACCGGTTCGCGCGTTCTTGACTCCTTGGGAATGGGGATGGAGATGGAGTATCTACCTGGAAGTACCTGGTAGTGCCTAGTCGTACCCACCTAGCAATGCTACCGGCTAACTCATGGACCGACTCGAGACCGGTGATGGAGTCAGTAGTCTGCTCTCTCTCGTCCTCTGTAGTGTCTGAACTGTGCAAATGCTCATGGCTATCCCACCTACCTCGAGCTTTCTAGTCATGCACGTGCTGTCTAATACTACATCTACTGGGTACAGAAAAACTAGCTTTCTCCTGATCATAAAACTCTTCATCCCTCCATGTGCCATCTTGAGAAAAAATTAGATTTTATATCTACCTAGTCCCTACCTGGTCTAGCATTTCACCTCCCACTATCAAGATGCTTATGTAATCAGATTCATACATTCACCATGGTTGTAAATTTGGGTAGCTCGGGTACGGTACCTACACACCTAGCCTAGTAGTACATCGCGGGATCCAGGTACCTATCATTCGCTTTATCCATTTTTTCCCCTCAAGTTCATTTTTATACTAAAACATAATAAATCCAATATTGCCCACCTACCTAGTACCTACGTGCAGGTTCCGTTGTTTGCCTATACTTTGAACACCATCTAGAAAGCGATTTCAACCCTCTATTCTATGGGCGCAGAACAATCTTCATCGCGTAGTGGGGATGCACAAAATAATGGCGGGGTAGTCATGAAAACATGTTACTACGAATTGTTGGGCGTCGAACGACAGGCTTCAGATGATGAGTAAGAACTTGGATATTGCTTTTTAACTCATTATTCTAAGATTGATTGAATGTAACTAGGATCAAGAAGGCTTATAGGAAAAAAGCGCTGGAACTCCATCCCGATCGAAATTATGGTAATGTTGAAACTGCCACCGCGAAGTTTGCCGAAGTTCAATCTGCCTACGAGGTCTTGTCAGATCCACAAGAAAGAGCCTGGTATGACTCTCATCGATTATCAATCCTAGGAGGCGGTGATCCTGCGGAAGACGACTTTGCGGATAATGTTCGAATAACGAGCGCAGCGCATATCATAAGCTTGATTGGAAAATTCGATTCCAGTGTCCCCTTCACGGATGCTCCGAATGGGTTCTTTGGTATACTTCGAGAGACATTCGCAACTCTTGCGAAAGAGGAGAACGCAGCATGCGATTGGGATGGCCTTGAATTAGTTGATTATCCTGATTTTGGGACCGCTGAGGATGACTATGAGGACGTAGTCAAATCTTTTTACAGAGCCTGGGTGAACTTCACAACGCAGAAGTCATTTTCATGGAAAGACCTCTACCGGACCTCCGATGCGCCAGATAGGGCAACCCGCCGATTGATAGAGAAAGAAAATAAAAGGTCCCGGGATGAGGCCAAAGCAGAGTTTAATGATGCCGTCAGACATCTCGTTCTATTTGCGCGAAAGAGGGATCCCCGCTTTACTCCGAACTCACAAACCCAGGAGGAGAGGCAGAAAATATTGCGGGATGCTGCATCGGCCCAGGCAGCTCGTAAACGAGCGGCAAATCAAGCCAAGATGAACAGCTATGTGGTTCCGGACTGGGCGAAATCCGATGAATCTGAAGGTGTAATCGAAGAATCATCTGAAGAGTCTGAGGTTGAAGTAATAGAGTGCGTTGTTTGTAACAAGACATTCAAAAGCGAAAACCAATTTGAGGCACATACGAAAAGTAAAAAACATACCAAGGCCGTACAGGCTATCCAGAAACAAATGCGCAAAGAGAACAAATCTCTACACTTGGATACACCACCGGAACCAAAGGGTAGCGACCTTGATGATGGTTTCGAAAGACTTGAAGTTACGTCAGAGAATGGGAAGCGTGAGTCTGCTATTGATGATGCAACTGAAGCTGAAGAAGTGGGACGCTCGCCATATGATCACGACTCGAATGCCGGCAAATCAGATGGTCCGGCCAAAGATGATTCTGATAGCGACAGCCTAAATGATGATTACGCACCCAGAGTAGTAGTTGAGGAAAGACTAGCGGCAGCAGTATCGCGAGATGCAGTCTCTCTTGAAACCGAGGATCTGGAGCTTGGTCAAGATTCAACCAAAGATATAGAGCAAGATGCTTCTAGCGATCCTGCTCCAAAGAAACCTCTTGGAAAAGCGAAAATGAAACGTGCCAAGAAAGCTGCTCAAAAGGAACCTGCAGGGCTGCAGGGCGAAAATGTAAGTGACCCTCTCCTCAAAATTATGTCACTTGGTGCTCATGATTCCAGTTTAAATGTGCCAATGTGACATGTCATGAGTCGTTCTCCTCGAAGAGCAAGCTCTTCAACCATATCAAAGAATTTGGTCACGCCTCACCCATACAAAAGCTGGTAATTCAAAAAAGAAGAAATAGAAAATGGGAGCTAAGTTATGAACTTTAGAGCATTGAGTGTGGTTTACTATAGCTTTATACCCTTATTTGTATGTAGAGGCGTTCCAAAGAATGGCAAGCATGCTCCCCGCTGAGCACAAAATCTAATGAGTTTCCTTATCACAATGGCCAGCCATTCAAATGCTTGTGATCTAACCTTGGAAGCAGACATTGAAGATTAACTAATCAGCCCATTCAGCATTTCTAAATCGATCTATTCGACGATATGTAAAGGCTATAATCGAATGGTATAAGTCCATGGTGGTGTTAGTGAATCCCGTTTACATTGCCATGGCCATTTGGACATGCGCGTCTGGATCAAACTTGAACGTTGTTTTTGTAACATGTCTTGAAATTTTTGAATCTCTATAGCCTGAGAGAAGGTGATTCTCTTTCGATCGAAACGGGACACTTGGATAGACTCGAGTGGCACAAGCGGGTTGGGATTGGAGGTGTATTTCGATTCTCACATGAGGTCTTAAACATCAAAAACAATCAAAGTTGTAATTCGCGATAAGAAAGGATTAAGACTAATCTCTATAAAAATCACCTACCCCGAACGCCCTAAATACCTCAATTCCTTTGGTGGATTATTTCCCAGCGCCTTAAGCGTCTAATATGGTATCTTCATCGTCGTCGTCAAATGTTTCAACCTCGTCAATAGCCCCATCTCGCTCTCCGCCTAAGCCATACGATGCCGGATCTGTATCTGCAACGTGGATAACTCCCTTACCCTGTACTTCCTTAACGGCCCGTCGCCACTCATTCCAATCATTCTCATCACGTATCAAGAATGCAATAAGCATGCTGGGATCCATCTCCCTTATGTGAAGTCGTCGAAGTCGGCGAGTGTGGCACGAGTCAACATCCTCTGTAGTATAGTCATCCATATTATCTTTGTACGGAAGTGCTGGTCGTGTTTGATGAGGATCCAGATAGAAGAAATCTGACTCTTGCACACCAATGAAGTAGTGCGAGGAGGATGGGCGACCCCTGTACTAAATTATTATATGACCATGTTAATGAAAGTCGGAGTGACTCACCCAGCTATCCCCACAGATTGCGGCATCTGTAAGGAGTATTTCAATGCCTCCCAGTAGACAGGAGTTATCTTGTCAAGGCCCAGCCTCGTACCGACTAGAATGAGAGTCGGCGTGAAGTCTGTGTGGTTTGGCTTTGCGATACTCATAAAGGTGTCTTCGTATACGTCCGATCCATCACCCGTGATATATACACGCAGTTCTGATTTGACTTGGTTATTGGATAAAGCCCTGTAGATGATCAGCCATTATTCACATTCCACTCGAATAGTCTTCTTACTGGATACAGCGCGCAGTAGCAGATGGTCCGAACCACTCTCCAGGATGTTTCCCACAAGCACTTGCACCATGCTCGACAAATTTGTGAATAGAGTAAGGAGCTCTCGGGTCATCTGCGAATAAAGATAGGATTTTGCGTTCTTCGTGGCTAGATATCCCGCGGCGCCATTCTATGTCATGGTCAGCTAAGGCATCGAAGAAAGTGATGGTAAGGGAGCCAACCTCTGCCCATCCTCAGAGTAAGCAATGCATTTGCCAAGAGGCTTTGTCCGGACCTTATCATACAGCCCCACCCCGTGTCAGATGTAAAGCCTCCTTGGTCGACAAGTTGGCTCCTCAATCGTACTGATATTGACATTGCAGAAAACGCTTTTGGATCCTGCGACTTGGCTATCGCTGGAAAGTTTGATCGGTATGTAAGCCATATCTTGGCTTCGAAATCATCAAGAAATGCGGATGGCCATCCTCCATCTGCGTTGGCTGTATCGCAAGTTTGGTAGCCTGAACTTGATTCAAGACTGCCAACGGTGCTATCAGGTGGAGTTGTAACTTCATCGGTAGGTAAAGACTGTGCGGGTAGATGTTGTCCTTCCTGGGGAGGGGAGTCTGTAATAGCTGAAGTAGGCGACTTTTGCAGAATAGGGTATTCTTTTCCTAAACACCAAATAGGTGACTGCGAGGCAGTGTCGTTCGTAGGCTCGGGGTCCCAGAAATACTGGACGAAGCGTTTGTAACGACCTATATCAGCCGCCGTCATGGTTGAATGCGACTATGATTCGTATTCAAGTCGTATCGGATGCACATAAGACTTGTAGAGTGTTATGGTAGAGAATGGCGGGGACGGTGAGCTGAGGGGAAATTGATTAGGGTTATCGACGGATTCTGTAGTGGAAGTATAGAGCTGATGGAAGAAGAAGTGTAGTTGAAGTAGAAGTATTATAAATAAGTGAACATTTGATAAGTCGAGAAATGTTGCAGATTGTTTGTAGTATGAGATGAGGTGAGTGCTGCAAGGCGAAGGCAGCTGATGTTCTGATTGATGTTATCACGTAGCAGTCAAATATGATACTTTGTTTGGCCTAGTGCGTTCTTCTGTAAATTTTAGACACGACAACACGACACTTTCATTTTGGAAGTGCATGTGCAGCGACTGACGGGAGAAAGGTACCTAGCCTAGTAGGTAGGCTCGGCAGGAACTTGGTTGATGATGTAATGAATTATTAATTAGATAAGAAGGTAAGATACTAGGTAGACATCAAAGTATTGGTACTCGAGTGCCTTACCTGGTATCTCCGAGTATGTATCTTCTAGATACCTTCTAGATACCTGTGAACAAGGTATTTATTATTTCTCCATACCTCCTCTGCTCCTGTACGGAGCACCACAGACCCACCTTTTGATAGTTTCTTATCGATAAGAAGCTCTTAGAGTCATCATCACCTGGACATCCATATTTATTCAAAAGCTGACTGGCGAAAGTGAAGTGTCCACAAATCGCCAGCATCTTATTGGACAAAAAAAGCTACTAGTACACATTTTCGTGCAGCGTAGTAATCTATGGTAATGATTGATTTTGTTACACACAACACCGACCAGTACCTGAGCTGCCTACCCTGTAGCCCAACACACTCATCACTAGGTTATTCACCTACCACTTGAATTATTCTCATCGATGGCAAAACTTTCTTCATCTTTTCCTGATCGAGATTAACATTCGTCGCAAGAATCTATACATCAGTTTACCATTCGTAAACTTCGATTCTATTGACAGTTTCGTTGTGCTGTGATAACACAAGCTATGCCACGAAACAAACGGGGTGGCGCTCGTGGGAGGGGCAATTTCAGTTCACCTAGAGGTGGTCGCGGAACTCCCACTCCTGGAACATCCTTTATACCATTCGCTGGCACATATGTTCCTCAAAGGCCTCAGACTGGTAATGTTTATACATTCTCCATACTGATAATCTCTGGCGAATGCGAATGCAATTGCCATTGTTCTACCAGACATGTTGGTCAATGCTAACAAAATTGGTATATTGTAGGTTTCACACTTCAAGAAGAAGCTCGCAATACTGAACGTCATCATTCGTTTTGGAACTCTGATCAAAGATTGAGGGATACAAAAGTGAGCTTTGTCAGCGCCGGGGAGTTCAATCCACCAGATCTTATCAAGGATTCTGAGGAGGCACTGGCTGGAATGAGCTTGGAATCTGCAGAATTACCTGCAGGAAACTTGACCCAAGATGTGAAAATGGCGAATCGCGAAACGAGGGTGGCTACACCCTCTTCGTCGTTCATGATAGATACCGATGGTGGCAACCGTGTTGAGACAGGCCTTGCGCCACCACGTTTGCGCTCAATTTCTCCAGCTAGGTCAGACTCAAGCGAAGAAGTCATTCTCTTTCACGGACGCGGTCAAGTAAGGAACGAAGATGCCAGGATCGAAAACGACCTCCCAACAAGCGCAGATCCTATAGATGCCAGGATCAAGTTCTTGGATGATAAACTTCTTGAGCAAGAAAAGCTATTGGAAGAAGCTTTAGATGAGAAGGAGGCATCTCTAGAGTCTATTCCACCCGAGTTGGCAGAAGCATTAAACAAGGAGATGTTTTTGGGCGCAATGTCACACAAGGTAGCAAATTCACCTTCTCCAGATTTCGAGGCAATATTACCCAAGAAGCGTCAAAACAAAGGTCGAGGTCAAGGTCGCGCTAGACGAGGTAGACGAGTGGCCGGCATCGATGATAGTGATGAAGAGGATGCTATGATTGCAGATTACATTGCGAACATGGATCAAGAACAGACTATGGCTGACGTCGACCATACATTCAACAAACGTGAGTTGGGAGGCGATGAAGACGCTGCTTGGGAAGATGATTCTTCTGTCAAAGACGCTCATGATTCTGATGGACGCCACGGATGGGGTCGGACAGAATTGCAGGATCTTGACGATCTCAGCACGTCGGATGAGGCCAGGGGCAAAGTCGAAACGATTTTATCAAAGAGGCATCGTGTTAGTGGCGTGCAGTACTTGATCGTCTGGGAACATCAGGACGTAGACGAAGCTAGATGGGTTCCGCTGGATGTTCTACAGGATTCCGGGGCACTGCCTCTCATTGAGGTTTTTGAAGCCGAAGAGAAGTTGGTTGCCGAATTCGAAAGTAATGGAGACGAGGATAGTGATGATTCTGACGATATTGTCGATGGAGATGATGACGACCATGATGACGAGCAGGATCTAGTTCAAAGGAGGATCGCAAAAATGAACGATGAACAAATTGCAAGACTGATAAGTAAGCAAGAGGAGCTTGGCATGGGCGGTGATGAAATTCTACTCTTCGACGATGAAGTCGATGATGAGGACGATGATATGGAAGCTTCCACGATTGATCTCAGTAATTTCATACTTTCAGGTAGAAGAGGCAGAAAGGAAAGACAGCGTCGCCAGGGCGAATTTCCACCTGCAGCTACATTGGCCGATGCTTATGACGGATTTGATGTAATGGATTTTGATCGACCGAGTCTCAAAAAGAAACCTAAAGGTCGCAAGGGCAAGTTGATACTAGACGACATCTCGGATTCAGAGCTCGAGGCCTCGATGCAATCAGCTTGGGACAATGATCGTGTTAAGAAAAAGGAGAGAAAGCAGGAACGTGAAGTATTACGTGCACGAGGTTTACTGACTGGCAAGCATGGCAAGCCCGATATGAAGGCAAGGTACAAGGAAGGAATGAGTATTGATGATGTCAAGGAAGAAATCAAGGAGTTCTTGAAGGGTGACAATACCACGTCAGTATTATTTCTAATCTTCTCAATCCACACTAACATAATACAGCCTTTCTCTTCCTGCGATGGACAAAGCCGATCGTAAATTTGTTCACGAGATCGCCAATGCATTCAAATTGAAGTCCAAGTCAGCTGGTTTAGGCAATAAGCGTTATCCTATCTTGTACCGTACTTCAAGAACGACTGTTTATGGAGAGCGCGCCTATGAAGCTGCAGCGTCGAAACTTTCACGTCGTTTCCTTCCACGTAATGACGTAGGTGGGAGAAGAACAGGCGCTGCGCCCAAACGTGGCGGCCGAACTGGTGGTGGAGGTTTTGGAGGCGGTTTCGGTGCTGCTAGTTATCGTGATGGTGATGTTGTCGGTGCCTCGGCTCCTGAGCTGGGTGTTGAGAACAAAGGAAGAGCGATGCTAGAAAAGATGGGCTGGAGTGCCGGCACAGCTCTTGGTGCGCTCGATAATAAGGGCATTCTTCAGCCAGTTTCCCACGTTGTAAAGACCACGAAAGCCGGTCTAGGATAAGGAGCCGGAAATATGGACGAGATGTCGCGAACCAATTAGTCAATCATGCAATCAATTCGAGTCGATGGATACGTCCTCGAAAACGTCCTCGGCGGTGGTCACTATGTATGGTTAGTATAGAATGCCCGTGTGACAGCAATAATCCAAACTCGGATAGCGGCGCGATCTAGCTCTGTTAATGGCATCCATATAACAATACATTCCATGCGCCACATTGTATGGAACCAAATAAGTGACAGTGAATTAAGTTGATGTTTGAATTTCGTCTTCTAATTCCCTATTCTGATGAAGACGTTTGTTTATTGTACAGCCACGTACCCCGAAAACAGACCGTGAAGACATTTGCCCCCATAAAAAGCAGACCATCCATAACGCATTAAAAAGAAAACCCCAAGGTCCTCGAACAACAACAGCCATCATCTATGAGATGACCCCAGAGCTCAAGCATATCCGATATCCCCCTAAACCCCAAAGAAAAGACAACTTATTTCGTGGATGAAGAGTACTTGGTGACAGCCTTGGTACCCTCAGAGACGGCGTGCTTGGCGAGTTCACCGGGGAGAATAAGACGAACACTGCGTGATGGTTAGAAATGAGATATGTGGATGTAATTGACTTTGCACATACGAGGTTTGAATTTCTCTTGATGAGATTGTGCTCTTCTTGTTGTAAGCAGCGAGCTTGGATGCCTCAGTGGCGACGCGCTCAAAGATATCGTTGACAAAGGAGTTCAAGATAGACATGGCGCGGTTGGAGATACCGGTATCTGGGTGAACTTGCTTGAGAACTATGGAATCAAAATGTTAGTGGTTGTTGTTTGGTAAATGCGACGCGTCATGATTGGAAGCGCGACCGGAAATCGCGAGTGGGTTCGTACCTTTGTAAATGTATGAAGAGTAAGTCTCCTTGCGTCCCTTCTTCTTGCGTGGCTTTCCTTCGCTGGTGGTGGTCTTCTTGCCAGCATCTTGCTTGCTAGCTGGGGCCTTTGATGCGGATGCAGGTGCCTGTTTTTGAAAGTGTTAGAAGAATGATTTTTGGAGCGCGCAATGGGAGTAAACACGTACCTTGGCGGCAGCTGGTGCCTTGCTTGCAACTCCCTTTGGTGGCATTTTGAATTTAAGATTTATTTGGATTGAAAAGTGTGAGGTTGGAGATTGATGATGTTAATAAGTGTGAAGATGGAAGATGGACGTGGGTGTGGTTTGTTGTTAAAGTTATCAAAGATGAAGGGGATTGAAATTGGGAGATGAAGAGTTTAAATGAATAATAAAGTCGGCCAAAATCACTTTCGTGCCCTTTTGCTAACCGTGCTGCTGGGGACTCTCTAAAATCGATGATTGGATACCCGATTAATGTGGAACCACCTTCGTGACCAATCACATAATTCGTTCAATCTGCGGGTCGTGCCTGCTGCTTATAAAATACCCTAAAACGATCTAGCTTATGGAAGGAGCTCTTTACCGTGTTTTTTTATGGGCAGAGTAGATCAGATCACGACTTTTGATGGCTCTTGTTGATAAATGTTCGTCCCCATTCCCATCTTCTTTTAATTCAAAACATCTCTTCTCTATCCACGCAAAACTTTCGAAAAAACACTTTCCAGAATTCTTCCTTGAATTAAATTCATCCATCAACTTAACCACTTCCCACATTAATTTTACTTTATAAACACTTTCAAAATGACTGGAGGAAAATCTGCTGGAGGAAAGGCGGGAACCACCAAGAACGCTCAATCGTAAGTTGCATTTCCCTTGTCTTCACATCATACCACGCGACTTTTCGATTCAATTTGCAACTCGCAATTGTATCTCGATGTCATGGTCACTTTTCAATCTTGAATCTTCAATGCTAATCTATTTGCCTTTTTAGCCGTTCATCCAAGGCTGGTCTCGCATTCCCAGTTGGTCGTGTTCACCGTCTTCTCCGAAAGGGTAACTACGCTCAACGTGTTGGTGCTGGTAAGTCATACTCATCAAAATCATTCTAATTTGCTATTCCTAACGCGTATCCATCAGGTGCCCCTGTCTACCTCGCTGCTGTTCTTGAGTACCTCGCGGCTGAAATCCTTGAGTTGGCCGGTAACGCTGCTCGCGACAACAAGAAGACCCGTATCATCCCACGTCATCTCCAACTCGCCATCAGAAACGATGAGGAATTGAACAAGCTTTTGGGACATGTTACAATCGCACAAGGTGGTGTCTTGCCAAACATTCATCAAAGTAAGTCACTTCAATCTAGTATTTTATATCACACTTTCTAACGTGTTTTTAGACCTTCTTCCAAAGAAGACTGCCAAGACTGCTGGTGGAAAGCCTGCCAGTCAAGAGCTATAGATTTTCGTTTCTGGGTTGTTGGCTTGAGATGGTCTGCTTTTATGATAATGGGGTGTCGTATGGGTATGGGTTTATGGTTATTTTTTCGCGTTCCGGTTGTACATTAAAATCCATGGCAATGGATTAGGATTGCTTTCTGAATCAATCTTATGAATGAAAAATCCGAATGATCATTCTTCATTATTTTCCAGAATACTTCACTTCCTTACTCGATTAGTGCAATGAAATGTGAATATTAAGCGTGAGGTCGGATATTGGACGCGAGACGCGTTTGTTTGTTTTGGATTTGTTCGAATGTGGGATGAAGAGGCTTCTATGTTGCGATCGTTTGATGGCAGCTTTTTTAATGCTTATCTCCTAGCTTCCAACTTGGTATTATATTGATATTTCTTGATTCTTATATATCGCCGGCAAAGTTCGTATCACTTGAATTTGTGCTCGTTCTTCCAATCGTATCAGCCTCCACACAAGTCACTCGAGAGAGATGCGTTCAAATTCTCTGAGAGGTCGAGAGGGCGTATCTGTAAACATTGTCGAATTTCTTGTGCTATGTACAATTCATCATTGCTTCCACTGATTGTAACTCCGCACTGTAACCTTCTGCCCTCCTCCCCACGAAATCCCGAGGTACTTACAAAGCCATCTTTGGAGGAGCTATGAAACGTTAATGCGGCGATCTCAGCAGTCGATATGTTGTATAACTTACGGTCGAGAATTGGTGATGGAAGATTGCGCTCGTATTTCGATCCTGAAAAAGAACATTGTAAGCATATGATATGGAAATAACCAGCCGAGGAAAAACTGACCTCCAGGGGCAGTAGGTGGGCGATATGGATCTGGGTGCTTCCACTTCTCAAGTAGATCCTCCGTCTCTTTAAACAATGCCTGCGAGTCACATAATTAGTCTACACTTCCTCCTTTATATCAATTCGGCTACTTGCCCTCTGCAGTCTTGGGTCGTGGACATTTTTTTGTGCCTCGAACAACGATCTGATATACAATGCTTGCCCTCTCCAGAGATGCCTGTGTACACACCAGTCCAGAGAAAGCTTAAGGGAGCGCCGATAAAGCGAGCTGAACGGAAGAGTGTTAGATCGGGTAGTCAGTATAACATGGGATGTAGATGCTCACGATACTGTAGATCTGGTAGACATTATGAATCAAATCTAATCTTTTTTTCTCCACTGGGTGCTCAAGATCGATGGCAATGCCAAAACACGGCAATTATTGTACCTGACCACTAAAGGATCTATTGATCTTTCAATAAACGCTATTGATGGGAAACGTCTAAGCTGTGGTTGGTGGTTGGTGGTTGGTGGTCGCGGAATGAATATTCAGTAAGTGGAAAGTGGAGTGGAGGTTGATTGTTGGAGTGTTACTAGGTAGATGTGGGAATATTGTACGGGCGTCTGCGGGTACGAATGTCGGGAAAACGCTTCAAAATTCGCGAACCCGGAAAAGACATCATACAGGAAATAATTAACCAATCTTATCCTTTACCTATTTCTTTTCGCATGCGCATTTATTGACTTGCAAAATAGATTCTCTATTTCTTTACCTACAACTCAGGTCTTCCTCTTCTTCGAACTTCTCTCTCATCCTCGCCATCTGGCTCCCGGAACATAACCACTTCGCCTTTTCTCTCCTTTCAAAATGCTCACCAGGAGGGTTTTAACAGCTTCGCGATTTTTGCTGGCTCAACGTTCCGCCGCACCGCAATTGAGATATCCACTCCCAGTTATCCAGCAATTTCGCAGTTATGCCGACAAAGTTGTCAAAGTACCAGAGATGGCTGAGTCCATCTCTGAGGGTACTTTGAAGCAGTGGTCAAAACAAATCGGTGATTACGTTGAACAGGATGAGGAAATTGCTACAATTGAGACAGACAAAGTCAGTATATTCCAGCATGTGCTCAGGGGTACATGATTAACGAGAGAGAAAATTAGATCGATGTTGCCGTTAATGCTCCCGAAGCTGGCACAATAAAGGAATTCTTAGCCAATGAAGAAGATACTGTTACCGTTGGTCAAGATCTTGTCCGTCTCGAACTTGGGGGTGCTCCAGAGGGTGGTGATAAAGAAAAGGCCTCTTCGGAACCGAAAGAAGCAGCATCAAAAGACCAATCAACATCTTCGGATCCTGAGCCATCCAAGAAGGAGGATTCGAAACCCAAGGAGGATTCCAGCTCTCCTCCACCTACAGAGAAGAAATCGGAACCAAAAGAGACACCAAAGCCCAAACCATCAGAATCTAAGAAGCAAGAGTCATCATCTAGTAGTTCTGGACCTTCTTTGGGCAACCGTGAGGAGCGTCGTGTATGACTTCTACCCTATACTTGTAACGATTTGTCCGGCTAACAGCATTATTAGGTCAAAATGAACCGAATGCGACTACGTATTGCCGAGCGTTTGAAGCAATCGCAAAACACCGCTGCATCTCTAACGACTTTCAATGAGGTTGACATGTCATCTTTGATGGAGTTTAGAAAACTCTTCAAGGATGAGGTGCTCAAGAAGACTGGTGTCAAGCTGGGATTTATGAGTGCCTTTTCTCGTGCATCTGTGCTTGCCCTGCGAGACATCCCTGCAGTAAACGCATCCATTGAAGGTCCAAACGGGGGTGACACCATTGTCTACAGAGATTATGTTGATATCAGCGTCGCCGTCGCAACCGAGAAGGGCTTGGTAACACCCGTTGTTCGCAACACTGAGAGCATGGACCTTGTTGGTATTGAGAAGACTATTGCTGATCTAGGCAAAAAGGTATGGTTATTCTGTAGCATGTTTGACTCGACCATTACTTACTGATTCATAGGCTCGTGACAACAAACTTACAATCGAAGATATGGCCGGTGGAACCTTTACCATTAGCAATGGCGGTGTGTTTGGTTCATTGATGGGTACACCTATCATCAATCTCCCACAAACTGCCGTTTTGGGTCTGCATGCTATCAAAGACAAGCCCGTTGTCGTCAATGGCCAAATTGTCATTCGTCCAATGATGTATCTGGCCTTGACCTATGATCATCGCCTACTTGATGGAAGAGAGGCTGTCCAGTTTCTGGTTAAGGTTAAGGAGTACATAGAGGATCCGAGAAGAATGCTTTTGTAGACAAGCAGCGTCATAATCTTGGCTGTAAAATTATACCTCCGGTGCACAAATGTAATACAAGACGAAGCATCAGTAAGCCCTCTGGCATCCGAGCTTCAATGCTATCTCGTTGATTCCGAAAATAGCATTTATTGATATGTATTTTATGGTCACATTCTGTCGCAATTGTTCTAAAGATATCCAATAGCATACGAGTATCGATGTCCAAAATCACGATGTGGTATGGCTTGTGGTTGACATGCAGTTCATCGTTACGAACAAGAAGCCCGTTAGCCATGTTTTCTTATGGACCCATCCGGTTGCTGCCATACACATATGTGAATTATATCATGAATACGTGCCTGTGGGTTTCAACAACACTATACAATATTCTATCCTAGTCTAATTGAGGCCACTTTATACAACGCCTGCTCGTCAATAAGACATTGCGTACATCGCCATCAGTACTAACTCTATACTATCGACTCCTCCTGATATCTACCAGTTGCAATCCCTATAGTTACTAGGGTCAACTAGTTCGAGTAGTTATGCCATCGTTCTAACTCACGGTTGGACGTACTTTAAACTTCAAACTTGAACTATGATCGTGTAAATTTCAAGCTTGAACTTGTTCAAAATTAGAATGCAATCCTATACGGTGGACTTGGATCTTCTTTCTCCTCCAGATGACTACAAGTACATGCATCTACCCACCGACGAGTCGCCACAATAGAGATCGCGATGTTTGGTCAATGATCACTTGAGACAGCTCTTGTTAACTTGGAACATGGCTCTGGGTCGTCTTTCGTAGGTCGGCCCTCAGCCTGTACGATCAGAAGATAATCCATGTAGTATAGGCTAACAAGTATATGTTGGGTTCGTAGTCGATGGAGGTTACAAATCATACTACCTTAACTGTATACCGTCAAAATTTTCTCGGCAGCTGCAGTTGAATTTCAGCGTGCCAGTAGGCTAGTTAAAACATCTTTTTGTGGTCTCTAAATCTGTACTTGAAGTGGTCGAACGAGATCGAGACAGGAACGCCAGAGAAGACTAAAGAGTATAACGATGGCACTAGCAGCAATGCCCTGGACAAAACTACAGACACCCATGTTTAGTCTGGTGAACTGTACCAAAAAGTACTACGGGAATTTGTATTGCCATTATACGAGTGTGGATGGCGCAAGCAAGCTACGGTGGTATTGCTCCGCTGGAGTCAGATCAAGATATACTGGAAATGGCATTCACCGAGTCGGGGTCAAAGGTGACAATCCAAAACTTGAAACCTCTGTTCTGCTTGTTTGAAAGTGCAAGTCTTAAGTCTAAGCCTAGACTTAAGTCATTAGGCTTTGGGCTTCTCGGTGTATTAGAATACCCATGACGTTATCTTCATCATTTGAAGATAATGTCAAGTATGAAAATTGACTACATGAGGGATGATACGAATGAGGCGCGTGTTGAGCCTATTCTATCTCCATGGTAGCTCAGCTATTTCTGGGTCCATTCTCTTCGGAGTAGTATAAAGAATGGCGAATATTATGTATTATCGAAATAAGATAGCTTCTAGAACCTTATCTAGATCTAATAGCGAATCTCAGGATTGTTCTCGATCTTTTTTTATTCGACAAATAAAAAACAAATAGTATTCCTGAATTTTTAGATAACGAGATACTATTAAGAGAAGTTATTATACTCATTATCAGAATAAAGAATTTTCCACAACCACACTTGTAATCTTTCAGTTTTTATTAATAAATAATATTATATATATATATCGATGTCAGATTTCAATACACTAATTCCATTTACATTTGAATCTAGAATATTAAATGAATGTGTATTCATTGTTAAACTATAAATTGTTGAATTTTGAATAAATTATGATTATACTATTCATTATAATTATAATGATTACTACTATTATATAGATTACATTATATAATTCCTCTCTTTTATATGTATATATAGAAACATAGGAGAAATGTTATTACTTTTATTATAATTTGATAATTCCTGAATAGAATAATGAAATAATCGAATAATTATCTAGAACCATTACTGTTTATATTCTATCAATATTCTCATCTATACTTTCTTTTCTTCCTTAGATTCGAAATTTCCAAAAATACCTATAAACTTACGAACATGTAAATCTATAATAGTACTTTTATATAGCAATACACTATTTATTGATACCCCAATCAACACATAGCAAAGTAAACTAACGAAATGTTATTATATCATCACGTAATTTATAGGTTAACAAATTGTATGTCTAATAAAGAAATCAATAAAACAGAAAGAAAAGATATACAATCATTAATTGGAATTCGAGGAATCAATTGATAATTTTTATTACTAAACTATCTAGAAAATTAGATTCAATATTCAATATAATAGTTTTTCATGATAATGACGAGAAAATCAATACTAAAACTTAACTATTATATTCAAACCAATTAGAGTATTATTATGTCTTAAATTTAATTCCAATTTTTGGAAAAAATTAATGGATAGTATACTAATCGATTTATTTAATTCGAACTAATAATTACACGTGTAATGTTTTCATCATATTGATTCCTTAAAGATTCTACGTTAGATTGAGAAACCGTTTAATATTAAAAATACTGATTGAGATTGTATTAATCATAAAATTTAATATTTGAAACATAAATTTATAAATCTGTAAATCTGTAAATCTGTAAGTCTGTAAATCTATAAATGAGCTCTTCTTCTCAAGGTGATTAACTTCTATAAAGATATCTGTACTCATTATATAATACCATCGCTCCAGATATCTTTTATCTCCTATCTTCTAAGTGAAAAGAATAAGGAGATCAAAGTATCTGTACTATTATTTCTTCTTTTTCCACCTTTTCTTTTTCTGTTTCATAGATTACCAAAAGAAAAACCTCTATCTTCTACATGGCTTCTCTTTTTTTTCTCTTTTCTCTATTTTTCTTCAAGCCCCAATTCCCAATAGAAAATCTATAAATATCATATTCTTTTTTATAAATTATCAAATATTATCTTTTCATTCTAAAGATAAATAAATAAACAGTCATATAGATTATTGGACCTCTTTTTTTTCAAACTAGACTTGCTTTTTATACTATATATTTAACTATCTGAGATTTTAGTTTAATGTATTCTCATATCTCTAAGGAGAAGATAGAATATAAGCTCTGACTTTAGACCCTGTTAAATATTAATGAAAACTATTAATACTATTGAGAATTTATAAATCTACAACCCTAGAATATAAGAGTTCATTATTTCTCTTACTACAGCTTTAAGTCTTTAAATCAATTGAATACATTTGATTAATTGTCTTTTTGAACCTTCAAATCGAAATTCAATTCTACAATTCTTTAATTCTTTAGTATTTCTAATGAATAATCTCAATCTCTTATCAATACAAAATAATATTATACAAAAGCTTTTGATCTGTAAAGTGATCTTATCTTTTTTGATTTCATTTTATGACTTTTATTTTATGGATTTATTGATGCAATCGAACTTTACAATTTAATATTCGTATATCGACTGGGTTAATCGATAGCTAATTTTAAATAATATTTTATAATAATGTAACTTATGATGAACTGGATCAGGTACATTTACACCAAAATTTGTATACAAAGGTACTTAAAGCGATTTTTTATAACTCTATAAATATTAGAGATATAGTTTAGATATTTTGAAGTATAATATATTCAATATAAATATTTAATATAATAGAATATTATAGAAATATAAAAGTATTTAATAAAAGTATTAAAGTTTTTTTCAAACTTTTGGTTTTGTTTAACAAAAACTATTATAAGAATTTTTAAAATCATATTAATTGATAAATAATATTATTAAAAAATGGGTTGTAAATTTTAATCCTAAATTTTTATTAGATATTAATTCTAATAATCAAAAAAAAAAAAATTATCTTTAATATCTATAAAGATATAAAAAATCACTCTGAGTATCTTTATATCTAAATTTTGATATAAAATCATTTAACCCAATTCCTTATATAATCTGGTTTACTATAAGTTATGTTATATAAATAAGAATACAGATTATAATTCCCGAAGATATTAGTATTATATAGTATTATATTGATAATGATTTATATTATAAATAAATTAATTGCTTTAAAGGTTTCCCTGAGAATATGTAGGTTTTTCTTTGTTATAAATTTTATATAATCATAGTGGATTTTACACTTATTAATGAGTCTGTCTCATTGATAATAAAAAGTTGATCTTGTATTTGTTATAATATGATACGTACTTACACTTTCAATTTATTTATTGATTGATTCAGAATATTGAATCTTGTTTCTTTTTGTGAATTTTTCTATTAAACTATTTATTTTACCTAGTACTGTTATATTTTTTCTCTTCTTTATATATATCAAAATTCAGTTTATAAAAATTTATTTGTTATTTACTTGTTATTTCATGAATTTTGTATTTCGCAAATCTAATAAATTTAATATAAAAACAAGCTATTAATTTTATTGAAGTTGATTTAGTTATAAAGAGATAGATTGATAGTAATATGTTTTTATTTGGTACTGTATTAGTTCTTTTCTATTTTCGATAATTATTTTAGTTAGAACAATGCAAGTGTATAAATTCAAGATTTAAATTGATATTAATATTGTAAGTCAAAATCTTATTATTATATTTTTTACATCTAGCTTAACGTTACCTTAAATAACTTGGATTTAAATACCGATTTCTTTCTGTACTTCAAAAGAAATACTCTTCATTTAAATTTTTTTTTTATAAAGATTCAAAATTGAATAAGATTGAAACAATCATAGAGTGTTATGTTTTATCGGTGATATATAACTCTTATGTTTACAATTTAGGAATACAGTTTCCTCTAATTATATAAGATATGCCAATATTAGATCAGGGTATTTTGATTTCAATAGTTTATAGTAATTAGTTTAAAATTTTAATTCAATATATAAACTCAAATAAATTAACGAAAGAACAGAAAAAGATGATAAT